AATAGATCTACCAATCTCTGTGTAAAAAAATAACGATGCTGCCATATTTCTAAAGTCATTTTTACCCCCCTGTAATTTGTTTGTCTTTCTATAGAAAAAATATATATAAAGAATGACCCTGCTCACAAACACTGAAATGACTTTATACGATGCACTGTGTTTCTGTGACTGATCAAAGTATGTAAATATGAGGCACACGATTGGTTGTCGGTTGCTAGGCATCTAGTCTTAACATTCTAACATCGCATCATTTCACACTGCGCATGTTTGGCAGCGCAATACAGGGTTAACGCTGCAAAAGCGTGGCTCCAGAGCAGGGTTTCATGACCCCGGGTAAAAAGCGGTGCTAACCCCACTTCTAAATTACAAGGGTGAAACGTTCCTTTACCCGGGGTTAAAACTAAAAGCAAGGTTTAGAATAACGATAACCCGGGGTTAAACAGTGTGAAAAGCCCTATATGTTTAATATGAGGTTGAGACTATGCTGATAGTATGGAAGCTTGTTTCCTCCACTGAATAAAAATAAATAATTGCAACTTTTTATCTCACAATTCCGAGATATAAAGTCACAGTTATGAGAAATAAAGTCGCAATTGCGAGATATAAAGTCGCAATTCTGAGAAATAAAGTCGCAATTGCGAGATATAAAGTCGCAATTCTGATGAATAAAGTCGCAATTGCAAGATATAAAGTCGCAATTATGAGAAATAAAGTCGCAATTGCAAGATATAAAGTCGCAATTATGAGAAATAAAGTCGCAATTGCGAGAAAAAAAGACAGAATTGCGACTTTTTATCTCACAATTGCGAGTTTACATCTCGAAATTCTGACATCTTTTCTCAGAATTGTGAGATATAAACTCGCAATTGCGAGTTATCAGGCCAATTCTAAGGGGGAAAAAATACTAACTTTTTTCCCTTCAGAATAGTTTATATCTCACAATTCTGACTTTACAACACGCAATTTCGACTTTATATCAATCAATTCTGAGTGACTATATCTCGCAATTCTGACTTTATAACACGCAATTGCGACTTTATTTTGCGCAATTCTGACTTTACAACACGCAACTGCGACTTTATATCACGCAATTCTGACTTTATATCTCGCAATTCTGAGAAATAAAGTCAGAATTGTGAGATAAAAAGTCGCAATTACCTTTTTTTATTTTTTAAACAAGCTTCCATATGATAGAGAATATTTTAAGTAAATATAAACTTAAATTTCTGTCTGTTTCTCACACAAAGCTATCGTATGACTTTGTGGAATTTAGAGCGAGTTGTTTGGACTACATCAGTTGAAAGAAAATCATACGGCTTTGCAACAACATTAAAGTTCATAAATACATTGTGTATTTTTGCACTGTTTATGTATTGAATGTTGTGTGTTTTCTTCAGCTTGTAGTACGTGTGCCGCTGCTGTAAGGCGTCCTGTCGCGTACGTCTGCACTATCGTGTCTGATCCACATAAATAATAAAGACCTCTGGTGTAATTCAGTTCCTCTGTTGTACCTGAACCCGACTCCCACAAGACGACCCTGTTATCTCCTTCTGCACGTGTCCGTGTGTAACAGTAAACCAGGGAGTTATGAGGAGGACACTCAAAATCAATAAAATGTCCAGTTCAGCGTCTACAGGGAGGGAAACATGTCAAGAGCGATGCAAATTCTGTTCGTACAGCTCAATTACTCAAGCGTATGTGGTTTCCATACGGGAGGCCAATAGAAGCTGCTCGTGTTTCTTTTGATGTTGCTTTAATTCACTCGCTCCAGAGGCAGGGTAAATATTTCATAACCTTCTTCAAATATTGATAAAGCTTTTATTCACGGCTCATTTGCTTCATGTGAATTTTGAGAGTTATTTTGGAACTTTTTTAAGGCACGCTAGAGCTCCTCTGTGATGTTCCCAGTACTAAGCTGGTCTTTTTCTTGGTGGGAAAACCGTAATTCATGCAAATTATCTGTAAATATTGTCCTACTTGGGGATTAAGTTCACTCGAGCAATCCATGCAGGAATGAAGCGCAAATGCTGCGGTGTGTCAATCTCCCAGTTCCTTCCAAAAAGCGCGGCGGTCACAAAGGGCCAGTCCTCAGCAGGAAGTGCATATGTATTGGCTAACCCCAGGTGGAGGCTCATTGTCTGTTCCTTCGAAGATTTAAATTTAAATGCCCAGCTCTGCAGCTGCTCTCTCTCCCAGCATGCACTGGGCCCCTTCAGGGCACAAAAGCGTCCTTGGAGCTGCCAAACTGGCCTGTAATCCTCCTGAAGGGGCTTTAGGTTACTGTACCCAGACAACTTTATGCCTGTCTTTTTGCACCTTAATTTTAGGAGGCAGGGGCCGGATTCACGAAAATCTTCTTAAAGGACAACTCCGGTGCAAAATGAACCTCGGGTGTAATAACACATTGATACAGACTAAATCGTTCCCTGAGATTTGTTTTCATGATAATCGAATGTAAAGAGTTTTATCTCTAAAAACAGTTTAGCTTATAACGCTAGTATATTGGGCATCGAGTAAGCAAAAAGAGATCGCTAGTTAATACCATTAACAAGGCTCAAATTAGCCCCACACTAACACGGCAGCATAATGAGTGTCCTTACATGCAAACCGAAGCATTGAGAACTTTGTAAGTGTATAGACAGTTTAATAAGAAGATACTTTACACAGACAGTACAGCTAGCGCATACAGACAGGAGCCATCTTGGAAAACAGTCTCGATCAGTCAAACCACGAACACGGTGATACGTGAGCTGAACTGTGACTTGGAATCTCATATGGTCCGTTGTTTCCGGAAGAAAGCACTGAGCCGTAAGAGAAGCACTGAACGCAACAGAGAAAATAAAAAAATAAATATAATTTATCTTATCTTCAATATCTACACATACTGTTCGCTCACCTTCGTGGTTCGATTGGTCGAGACTGTTTTCCAAGATGGCTCCTGTCTGTATGCGCTAACTGTACTGTCTGTGTAAAGTATCTTCTTATTAAACTGTCTATACACTTACAAAGTTCTCAATGCTTCGGTTTGCATGTAAGGACACTCATTATGCTGCCGTGTTAGTGTGGGGCTAATTTGAGCCTTGTTAATGGTATTAACTAGCGATCTCTTTTTGCTTACTCGATGCCCAATATACTAGCGTTATAAGCTAAACTGTTTTTAGAGATAAAACTCTTTACATTCGATTATCATGAAAACAAATCTCAGGGAACGATTTAGTCTGTACCAATGTGTTATTACACCCGAGGTTCATTTTGCGCCGGAGTTGTCCTTTAAGGAAGATTCATTCTAAGAAGTTCGTAAGAATATTCTTAGGTGCAATTCTTGACAAGTTTTCATACCTTTTCTAACAATAAGCTCATACTCTTATTGTTGCAACTGGCTTGATGGGATGGAGCAGTCTGTTGCATTCAGTTGCGATAGTCAAGTAAAGGATGATCTGTGAACCGTACGGACCAGGCACCACGGTTCGAAACGCAAGTGATTCTCTGATTAATTGCAAGGTAGTTGCATAGAGTGAAAGTTTATCTTGGAGTTTTAGGTCCTGTCATTTTAAACATTAAGCGATTTAAAAAAAATTCAAGTGCAAGAAGACAAAATAAGTTTGAACATGAACATGCACATACACGCAGAAGTGTCAAAATGCCCATCTTGGTGAATATCATCATAAACAGTCTTGTCTTATGGCTTACGTGAACGTAAACGCATGAGAAAGAAAACGCATCATTATATTGGATCTGTGCATTTGCTCTTAAAGTGACAGCAACCTAATAACCCTGTTATTAGGCTTAATATTAATCAAACAACAGAAGATTTTTGTAGCTTTAACAAAGATTGATTATATTTATACAGTGAAGACTACGCAGTGCTATTTTAGATTTGACTATTCAATTTCTGTACTTGAATACTGTTAGACTTAGGCTACCTGAAAAACATAAAGCACTGTTTATTTAATTTGTATCTTTGTTCTACTGTATTTATCTATGCTTGTAATTTGCTTATTATTTTCTATGCATATTCACTCCCCTACAAAATCACCCCAATCTTTCTAGAATGATTAAATCTTTACAAATAGAGCTGGTGAAATTGTTTTCATATCGCAATATATATAGTAGAAAAACTAAATATTGCAATGCCCATATTTTAAAGTAAATGTATCGTGTGTGTGCACATTCCTAATAATTTGTTTTATATGTGCTATGTTGTAATGCTTAATATTAAAAAAAACCATTAAATTCATTAAACATCTTTTCTTTGGGGATTTAAGGCAAGCTAAAGGTCCTAACTTAAAGAGGCTGATTTACAGTGATTTTTAAGAAAACTCTTTTTAAGAATTCAAATACTTAGCAAGTTTTGTGTTTAGAATAATCTTAAGAAAAAGGATAAGAACATTCTTAAGAAATGTTTTGGAAATATTGTTATCTTTATACATATGTTGGAAAATTAAAAAGATTTTCATTTTTAAGAATGTAGGCTATTGTGAATACGCCCCTGCGTCTGTTTTCTTAATGAATCTAATTTTTTTTTTTTTTTTTTAAATGTTCGCAACCCCTTTTACTTCCATAACACATTTCAGAGTAGAACAGGCTATTTATTGGGAAAAAATGCGGGCTGGGACTTCACTTTATCCATCGGGATGGTGAAAATATATGTTGAAAAATAAGAGGTCTTGATGACATCATCTAAAAAGTAAAGTTGTTTCAAAAGCAGAGCAAGTTTTATTTTGATTCCACAGACAAAAATCTTTGTTCAATGAATCACTCACATTTTTAAAGTGAATTTTGAAGGCGTCAGTTTTGATTTCATGTTGACTTCTGCCTGAGGAGTTTTCTTGCACTTCTACTTAAATCCTTACTCGTAATCATAACACTTGCCAAAGGTCCAGTGGGGTTAATTTTCCTGCCAAACTGCTTCCAGAGCCAAGCTGTGTGTTTTTATGAGATCTGTCATAAACTCTCAGGGCTCTTGGCATTTCTAACTCTCTGTTCTCCCTCCCCACCAGCCCTTCCACCCCATGGTGAACCTGCAGTGCTCTCCAGACCTCCGGCCGTTCCTGTGCGCCCTGTATGCCCCCGTGTGTATGGAGTACGGACGGGTGTCTTTGCCCTGCCGGAGCCTGTGTGACCATGCCAAGAGAGACTGCCAGAAGCTCATGGATATGTTTGGAGTCACCTGGCCGGAAGAGATGGACTGCAGCAGGTACCGATTCAACAGCTCGAGTTTTTTTAAATAGAAATTGTAGATCATTTTTGAGAAAAGGAACAAAGTGTACATGTCCCTGTTTCAGATATAATTGCCACATAATTGCTCAGCATTTCTGAGGTAAATTGCTGTAATGGTTGAACACGTTTCTTCTTAGACATCTTTTCTTTTTTTTTTATGGAAAAAATGTTTTTTGACTAAAATGGTTTAACCAAACACAGATGTCCCAGGGAAACCTTTTAATCTCCAATGAAAAACAACCATTCTGATAAGGGAAAATATGCTCACAATTTAAACCAGCTTGAAATAATTTCAATTTAATGTTAGCAGCAGTCAAAAACAAACAAACAGTGGTAATAAGGAAACACTTTGAAAGCTATAGAAGCTTGTTTCAGTCACAGAATAAAAAATAAAAAAGGTAATTGCAACTTTTTAATCTCAAATTTCTGTCTTTTTTTCCCTCACATTTGCGAGTTTACATCTCAGAATTTGCCTTTGGCTAAGCCACACCCTAGAATGTAGATTCACCAATCACAGCGCAGCCAAGAACGAGCTCCCACAGAGGTCCGACACTTTTTCACAGCGCTCCATTGACTTTAACACAGGCGTCTCATATTTTTGGTCTCGGCAGGCTATTACCGTCGTAGTTTTATCAAAAATATGGTTAAACGTTGTGCCTGGGGCATTTGTAACACAGATACGCGTTTCCCAGAGAGGTTGGAGGGGGGTGAGCGTTTTTTTCCCTTCCCAAAACCGAAGTCAAATCCTGACAAGTGTCGTCTAGCTAGCACACGCTGCTAATAAATACAACGTTATACTCGCGTAGTTCGTTTGCTTTGTAATAACGATTATAGAAGTGAATAGAGACCTACCCAGCTTTGCATGAACAGTGTTGCTCCTTGATATTGTTAGTCCCAGCCTCCGTCTCGATTAGTAGGATATGCGGTGGTTCATTTTTTGACCGGTATGCTTTTGCCTCTATTTGGATGCCTTGTTGTTCCTTGCGTTTCACCTGAATGTCGTGAATATAGCCTTCGAACGTATATTGCAGCCCCTTTTGCCTACTTCTATCGGACACTTTATTTTCTGTTTTATAAAAGTTTGATAAAATTTCAGCAGGAAGAGCTGTCACAGCATAAGCCATGTTGATACCAGAGCCCAGATGAAGTTTGTTTGTCGGACGTAGCAACAGTAACTAAGGGGGGCGTGTTTGTAACACGCTATTGGGAGATATAAAGTCACAATTGCGTGTTTATATCTCACAATTCTGAGAAAAGATGTCAGAATTGCGAGATATAAACTCGCAATTGCAAGGAAAAAAAGTCTGAATTGCGAGTTAATTTCTCGCAATTGTTCGTTTATATCACGCAATTCTGACTTTATTTCTCGCAATTGTGAGATAAAGTCGGAATTATCTTTTAAAATGTTTTATTCTGTGTCGGAAACAAGCTTCCATAGAAAGCAGTAGTTTTGTGTATGTGTGTATATCTCTTTGTGTGTTACCTGCAGGTTCCCGGACTGTGACGAGTCTTACCCTCGCGCTGTGGATCTGCTGGTGAACGAGGAGCCCACTGACCAGTCGCCCATGTCGGTGCAGCGTGACTATGGTTTCTGGTGCCCCCGCGAGCTCAAAGTGGAACCCGAGCTCGGCTACACCTTTCTAGGTGTGCGCGACTGCTCCCCTCCCTGTCCCAACATGTATTTCCGGCGCGAAGAGCTCACCTTCGCCCGCTACTTCATTGGCGTCGTCTCCATCGTCTGCCTCTCCGCTACGCTCTTCACCTTCCTCACCTTCCTCATCGACGTTACACGCTTCCGCTACCCGGAGCGGCCCATCATCTTCTACGCTGTCTGCTACATGATGGTGTCGTTGGTGTTTTTCATAGGCTTCCTGTTGGAGGACCGCGTGGCGTGTAACGCGGCCAATCCTGCCCAGTTTAAAACATCCACAGTGACTCAAGGCTCGCATAACAAGGCCTGCACACTGCTTTTTATGGTGTTGTACTTCTTCACCATGGCAGGCAGTGTGTGGTGGGTCATTCTTACCATAACCTGGTTCTTGGCCGCTGTGCCCAAATGGGGCAGCGAAGCCATCGAGAAGAAGGCCTTGCTCTTCCACGCCAGCGCGTGGGGAATACCTGGCATGCTAACCATAACCCTGCTGGCTCTGAATAAAATCGAGGGCGACAACATCAGCGGCGTGTGTTTCGTGGGCCTATATGACGTTCACACTCTTCGCTGGTTTGTGCTGGCGCCGCTGTGTCTGGATGTCCTGGTGGGAGTTTCGCTGCTGCTGGCCGGGATCGTAGCGCTCAACAGAGTCCGGATGGAAATTCCCCTGGAGAAGGAGAATCAGGACAAGCTGGTGAAGTTTATGATCCGGATCGGCGTGTTCTCAGTGCTGTATCTGGTGCCGCTGCTGACCGTGGTGGGGTGTTACCTGTACGAGCAGACGTACCGCGCCGTTTGGGAGATCACATGGGTGCAGGAGCGCTGCAGAGAGTACCACATACCCTGCCCTTTCCAGGTAAATATCGATCGATCGATCTGTCTATTGCCTGTAACAACATACATTTTTTTTTTTATGTTTTACTTTGACGTTTTGTAAATTACACACACCCATACCAAAAACGTGAATTTTGAAGCTGTTATGTTTATTTTTGAAAACGTATGTTTCTAATAATAAATAACTAGACAATTTGGGGTGTGAGTGTGTGCAGTTTACTTTGTAGAACAAAACGTCAAAATATCGTCAAGTTATGTTCGCCACAGGCTTTATTTTACTCATAAATTGAAAAAACCCCATAGGAAAATCTTGAGGGAACCAGTGGTGAATTAGTCTCCCGTGTTCTGACGTCATTCCTGCACCAAAATTAATACTTAAAAGTATTAAATTCGAAATAAAAACGTACTCACCCCAGAGAAATACATAATGGATATTTAGTTGTTCATACTCATTTTCCTTATTTTTCCATTTATATTACCTTTGACATCATCTAATGCTCACTTAAATGAATCCTTAAAAACATTAATAATTTAACACTATAGTATTAAATTTAATCTATTAAATCTCAAAATTAATATCTGTTTTTATACTGTACATATTATAATGTTATGATGCCGATATTTTTATTTTATTTTTTATTTTTAGATAAATACCTTAACCAAGTTTAGTGTTTTGTTCTTCCCTCATATTTAAAACACTTATAAAAAATAAAATATTTCACTTGTATTTTGATGGTTTAATCAAACTTAAAGGGCCATTAAAACCAAACATCACTTTTGCCCACTACTGTATTACTATAAGAGATATTGTATGTCTTTTTTATATTCAGAGTTGTGGCAACAATGCTTTGACTTTATAACAAAATTACGACTGGTTTTTCTGGAAAGTTTAGTCTTTAAAAAGACACCTTTTGAGGGCTTAGTGTTTCTAGCAACAAGGTATAGCCTATAAAACTGTCCTACATGAGCAGATTTAGAATATGTACCTCCCACCTTTCCTATTATTTTTTCTCCCCTGATCGTAGCTATTATCCTCCTCCAAGTGTTACACCAGTATGTCTTGTTGCTTTCTTTAAGATGGAGACATCAGAAGTGTTGGACTGATTTACTATACAACTGGTTTGATTTGACTGACTGACTGAATAAAGATGATTGTAATAATCGCAAGACCCACATTTGTTGAAAATATCCATCGTAATGGTTCTTTTGTGTTGGGGGTTGAATGGATGGTGAGATACGATCCAGTGCAGTGATGCATGAGGCATTTTTATTACAGTGTAACCGTAGACGCTCGGCCTCTCCCTCCACACAATAATGAACGGATCCGAGCATCACGTGGTGTAGTGATTCTCTCCCCTCCCCTCCGGCATATATCTCTGTGTTCACCATCACTGGCTCTCTCGCTTTGGCTCGTAAGAAGAATGCCTACATTCATCTCACACATTTAACCGTCGAGGACGTTTAGTTAGAGGCTCAACTAATGGAAGCCAGTTGGCACAGCAACAGTCCAGAATATGATTGGTTAGGACTAGGTGATTGACCTTGATTAGTTGTTAGGTTTTATTGACATTATATGTATGTATATATATTTACAAATATATTTTTTATATAAAAGATTATTTAAAAATATATTACAAAGTGTAAAAAGGCTAATATATATATATATGTGTGTGTATGTGTGTATCTATAAAATAAATACAATTAAAAAGGTTTAAAAAAAATCAAGCATAAAAGATAATTAATAAAATATGTTTTAAACTAATTTTAAAACATGCCTTGATCTTTTAAGTAATGAAAATTAATTAAAACAAAAATATTGTTAAATTAATTTAAAGGAAATATATTATTTATTAGTATTATTTATATATTAAATATAAGAGTATATTAAAGTAAAATATGTATTTATTGTAAAGCAGTATTTACAAATAAATAAATTTTGTTTTTGTAATTATGTTTTATATAAAAGATTATTTACAAATATATTTTTAAAAATATCAAAAGGCTTTAATAAATATTTATATGTGTGTATATCTAAAATAATATACAGTAGATTTTCAATGTATATACAAATCAAAAAGGCTAAAAAATAATCAAGTTCAATGTACTTTTTCTAAAAAAAATTCAGAACAAGACCCAATATTAAATTATTATTTGTATGTATAATAATAAACATTTTGTATGTATAATAATAAACATTTTGTACAAAATGTTGTATTTGTACTAAATTAATAAAAGCATGGAAAATGCCACTTGGGGATATGATAATTTTTTGAAGAGTTATTAAACTTAACTTAATAAAATATTTGAATATGCTATATTTGTAATATTTTAATATTCACAGCGTTGTCTCATTTTTATCGGTAGTAAAATCATTTGATTGAATTTGTGCACTTGATATGTATTGCCTGTTGCCCAGCCCTGTGCAGATATATTTTTGCAGGATTCTTTCTTGCTCCTCTTGGTGCGTTTCATCATTGGGCTTGTTGCGTCCCGCGTCCTGTAGTGAAGGACTGACCCCCTCCCCGTCCCGCTGTGATTTAAAGGTGCTCAAGCCTGTCATTACCTCAGCCGCTCCAACAAAGAGCACAGATACTGACTCACTAAAGCTCAGGGGCTGAGCAGGGCCGTGATTGGCTCTACATGAGAGACACGCTCTAGCTCAGTGTGTGAGGTCGAACGCACTGAATCTGATGACGCGTGTGTTATTCACTAATTAGGGAGGGTTCTTTAGTATGTGGAAGTAATGCACTTGAAGGATTGAGGATGCGTGTCATTCACCTGTTGATGTGAAGACGTCTTAGTTTATGCCAATGAAGTCTTTAAATAATGAATGTGGAACTATAATTCCAAAGTGTCACTGAGCAGAATTAAAAGAATAGTTCACCTAAAAATTAGTTCATTATTAGTTCATTACTACTAATAATAAGTTGAACACAAAAAAAGATATTTGGAAGAATGTCGGTAACCAGACAGTTGATTGACTTCCATAGTATTTTTTTTTTCTACTATGGAAGTCAATGGGGTGCAACTGTTTGGTTATTCATATTCTTCAAAATATATATTTTTTTGTGTTCAGAAGAAGAAAGAAATTCATACAGGTTTGGAACAACTTGAGGGTGAGTAAATGATGACAGAATTTTCATTTTTGGGTGAACTATTCCTTTAATAAACTTGACAGACTGATTTATCCTTACTTTCTTGTAGATATATCTTGAAGGCAGCATACATTAGTATTTTTCTATGAATATGTATCCTTGTATGTTAACGTGTGCTTTAAAGACGTAACATTTCATCCCATGTAATCATCTGAAAACACCCTCCAGAGTTTTTCCATATTCACTTCCTCTGCGGTGTGTGTGTTGTGTTGTGACATATGCATGAATGCAGCATCCAGGCGCTTTGACAGAGGAAGAGGAGGAGAACAGGCTGTTGTTGTGGCTGGTGCTCAGGATAAAGCAGGATTGTCCGTGAGCAGCGAGCTGTGCAGCCTGAAGGAGTGAACGCTTAAACACACACTGGTACAGGAAGGAAGTGTGTCCATGCACACACTGCAGAGATTTGAGAGTGAAGATGAAGCGGTTGGATGAGATGGCATATCCGTAAATGACTAAAGCTAATAGTGTAATGTGAAAGTGTTGTGGTAAAGAAGGATGCAGTGAATGTGTGGAGTATCAGAGACGGACTAATGTGTGAACATCTCTCTCTCTCTCTGTGTGTGTGTGTGTGTAGGTGGAGAAAACCAGCAGGCCTGACCTCGTCCTGTTCCTGATGAAGTACCTGATGGTGCTGGTGGTGGGCATCCCGTCCGTGTTCTGGGTGGGCAGTAAGAAGACCTGTTTCGAGTGGGCCGGCTTCTTCCACGGGCGTAGGCGTAAAGAGTGAGTTACCTTCCTCATTCGGCTTTAGTTTGCAGGAGAAACGACTCGGGTGTTCATTTAAAACTAGACATGATCTAGTGGTGTATATTTGCAAGAGGGTGTTGATGATGGACAGAGAACAATAAACAACTGTAATGCTTTTAATGTCATCAATAGTGTTATTCAGAAAGCTCTCTAAAGCTGGGACTATTTCTAAAATATAAAGACAGATAAATATTTTCATGAATAAAGCAGCATTAATACTGTAAAAAATATGACCGTTTTTTTTTTTTTTTGCTTTTATAACTGTAATGTTTAAGTCATTCTACATTTTCAGATTTAACAACTCTGATCTAATTATATAGGTATTTTTGATTTTATATGGGCCTAAAATGAACTCGCCAAGCGCTAAATATTAGTAAAAATCGGTTGGTGAGTATATGAAACAATGAACAATGCAATGTTGTGTGAGAACATGAATGTGAACAACGCTTGGGACAGTTGACGTGCCAGTGCTGCATCCTCACGAAACTTTAAGCCTTGACAATTGAAATATTCAAGACGCGAAAGGGAACTCAATTCGTTACTCGTTACCGAAGCGTGCGCCCAGAAATCCACGTCTCAGTCTTAAATCGAGTCCTGTCTTCCTGCACTTGAATAGACATTGTCAAAATGCCGGTCTTGGCAAGTATCCTCGTAAACAGTCGTGTCTTAAGTGAATGTAAACCGTTGAGAATGAAAACACAGACAGCAGGAATATCAGGCTACTGTCACTTTAAGACCTGCACGATTCGAATATACTGATACACGTGTGTTTTCAATGTTAATCAATCAGCAAACAACAATCACTTCTCAGAAAGATAAAATCTATATATAACACGGTTTTCAATGTAAATAATTTATTCTGCTTGTCTATCCTTTATCTCTGTTTATTTGCCTATATTTGAACTGGTTTTACCCTGTTGTTGCCATGAAAATAGCATAAATCAAGCAAGTCCATTTGTTTCTCCCGTATCCAGCAGCGGCGCAGTGAACGAGAGCCGGCAGGTTCTGCAGGAGCCCGACTTTGCTCAGTCTCTGCTGCGTGACCCCAACACACCCATCATCCGCAAGTCCCGCGGGACCTCCACTCAGGGCACGTCCACCCACGCCTCCTCCACACACCTGGCCATGCTGGACGACGTGCGGAGCAAAGCCAGCAGCGTCCACAGCAAGATCAGCAGCTACCATGACAGAGACGGCAGGCGAGTTCTACCGCATCCCGACAAGCGTGATGATACACTTGTGCTTATATAGAGAGAGAGAGAGATATGCTATATAGCACATATCAACTGCTTGACTGTTTATATTGTCACAAAATGTAACTATATAGATCAGGGTCATAATATAAAGTTGGATATCTATGTCCAACTTTATTCGTATTCATACAGTACACTCACCGTAAAGTGACACATACCATATAGCAAATCTCAACTGCTTGTTTGCTTGTATCATTGATGAATGTATCCAGCTAATCCAGTGAATCCAGCTATAAGCCATGAAGATGTTAAGATATTGAAGCTGTTTAGAAACAATGTGTATTGCCAAAAGCGATATACAAATGAAGAGTTTGGTTCCAAAACGCAATAAATCCATTTAGATTAATTTGAGTAAAAATGTGTTTTCTCTACCAAGAAAGTGGAAAGATGAAAACCACTATTTTCTGTTTCAAACTTTCACATAGCATTTGTAGGTCATAATTAAAAAAAATAAAAAAATTAAATCCAGGTTCTGATTTTCAAAGATTTATTATAAAAACGGATTATTTTTTCCCCCAAAATGCAATAAATCCATTCCATTGAATCAATATAAACGTTTTTTTTCATATTGAAACTGTTGAAAATACACAACAACGCAAGTTTATAGTATAATATTTTTATTAAGAACTGTAAAGATTGAAAACATTTTTCCTCCTCCCGAGTGCCTCATCTTCTTAATCTCCTCACATCAATGATTCGATTTCGATGCCTTACGTTTCTTACCCACCGCAGAAACAACCACAGGTTCATCAATGCCGTCAAAATTATTCATTTTTTTGTTTGTTTGTTGATCGAAAAGTACAAAATAGATAAGAAAAACTAGGAAGCCGGGTGTATTTACTGATGATTACTGTTTACATTGCGTGGAATGGTGCGTTGTGATTGGTTGAGAGCGGATATATCGCATTTTACTTAAAATTAAACATTGACTTTTCAATACCAACCAGATACAATACTGATTTTTGCAGTAACAATTTTTTTTTTTTTAAATGGCGTTTATCGCGTTTTGGAACCAAACTCTTCAAATAAAATGTACTTGATTTGATAAAAGATCCCCTGCCTAAAAAAATCAAAGCTGCTATGTATTTTCATGTATAAAGGAACATTTACTGTGAAAAAATATATAAATGTGTGTAAAATATCTGGAAAATATTTAGGTTCTATTTAAGTTGAATATTTTTTCCTATCTATCTTTAGTCTACCTATGCTGTAAATTAAGTTATGTATACAAAAGTATATATTATACATTTTTTAAATAACAATTAAAATGTATGTAATTGTATTTTATATATTTCACTCCTCAAGTAAAAATAATGTGTATATATATATATATAATTATTATATATATTTTTTCATCTTTTCCCCCCATCTTTTTTTCTGAACCTTTCCTTGGGTCCCCTGGATCCCGAGTTTGAAACCTCTGATCTAATGCAAGTGTATCAGTTGAGCTTCCTCTAAGAGTTTAATATAGTTGTGCATGTGCAGACATGTCGAAGCTACGTGTTCAAAGAAGCCTGAACTTAATTAACCTGCCGATTTTCCTTCTGAACACAGGTTCACCCCCACCAGCCACAGAGGCATGGAGGAACGCCCGGCGTACGGGAGCATGCCTCGACTCAACGAGCAGCTGTCCCATCACGGAAGCCTTCATCGCCTCGACAGCCAACCCAGACACGGCAGCTTGCGGGACCTGAGCAACGCACCGGCCACTAGCATAACGCACGGATCCAGTATGAACCGCGTGGTGGAGGAGGACGGGGCAAGTGCGTAACCCAGAGACCTGTCCTCAGATTTGAGCCTCCAACTGAAACGAGAGGCGTATATCTGTTGGCGCGGGAGAGTCCCTGTCCCGTGGGAGCCTGGGAAGCTGTTGACGGACAGACATGTGCTTTGGCAGCAGCAGGGGAATCTGAAACTTGATGCATGCGCGTTGACAGAGCCGTCCTCAGGATTTGGCCCATCGGCGGCGCACCTGAGTAACAAGATATGTTTTCTTTGATACTGTGAAGTTCTGTTGGATGAAGTTTACTGCATGTTTCGCAGCGTCAGGATGAAGCAGGACCGGCCGAGGGGATATTTCCCATTACATCCATCGCACAACCTCGTTTAAAGAGTTAATGGATCAACGACGCTTGAAGACTGATGATATCAGGTTTCAGACCCTTGCCGATTCAGAGAGAGGGAGTATCAGTGGTTTTGTTTCTCGTGGGTAGTTTGGTTGAGAAGGATCGCATGGAGAAACGATGTACCAGAATCCTCCCCCAACACCTGATGTGCTTTGTCCCAGCCGCTCTACCTCATCACACCGGATCGCTCATTACACTTGATATCGCTTCACTCGTCACATTACAGAGTTCAAATGGATTGAAAGCGGCGAGCTGTTTTTCCCGAAGAGTCTTAAGCTTTGTAAATGGTGCTTCTTTCTCATGAATATTTCAGCAGGCCATTTCCTCATGTGCTATACTAAGGCCGTTTGAAACACACGTTTCATGGAACATAAAAATGCGTTCTTTTGAATTTCCGACACGCTTTAAAAGTGAAGTTCTGAGTGTTTTTGTTTACGTGTTGGATGAGATTACAGTGGTACTCAGTGCCTAAACGTGACTTAGGACCCGAGCTTTGTAAAAGCTGTTTTTCTGATCGCTATTACCGCTTCTGCTGTAGCTTTGCCTTCGGTTTCCCGATTACACTTGATCTTCATGCTCTATTCGTCTGTCCACGTTACTAATGAGGAACTATACAGCACTTTAACCGCAGCTATCTGTTGAATGTGTAGAGACAGTAGATCCACTCGTAGCGTCATTCAAGATTTCAAATAAAGCTTTTGTTAAAAAACTAAAAAAACTTGGTGTGTTTTGTAGTTCCCCATTTTATTGAAATAGTCAGATAATGAGCTTTCCATGTGAAAAGTGGTGTCCAAACCAATACAAATAACAGTATTCCACCTTAAATACATTTGTGCAAAGGAAGAAGAAAAGAAATTGGAGAAAGGTCTACATTGCAGTATGGGGTAATTCATTTTCACATCCCAACCATTCACGCCACACAGGTCAATAAAATACAATAAAAATAAAACGAAACAATCCAGCCGTACAGTCCTTAAAACAAGTGATTACACCTATGACATGCAAATCTGTACATAGTCTTACAAAAGTCGAAATCAAGAAGAAACAACTATATGATATGAAGCAGCAATTCACTAACAAGGCAAACAAAATCCTCACGTGAAATGCATGTGAACGTGTCTTAAAAATCTCCAGCCGTCTCCTCTCATTCTAGTCCATTCTACCTACATTGACCAGTTCGCACCGATCTAAGAAAACTAAGGCACCTCCCGCTCTAACATTGATCTATTCATTGCTAAGTAACAGTCCTAAATATCAAACAGCCGACAGATCTGGATGTGTCATTTCTACAATCTTAATCCTCCAAACATATAATCATTGGTTCTGACATACCTGAGATCATTTCAAACAGGTTTCCTGTTCATGTTAATACCATAACCCTGGCAAATTGTTTCTAACCCGTTACAGCCTTTTTAGAGAACGAAAAACAACCTGTATTATGAATATTAGTTTCTGTTTAGAAATGAACATGATCATGGAATAGAGCAAATGCATAACTAAGGTCCCGAGCAATACCACAGAGTGAGCGCTTCAATTAAAAATACAACATGTGCCGAGTTTGCTGGACTGGTCCACAGTGAAGGTTTCAACAGTGCTTGCATATAATGGAACATACAAAATGCTGGCAATAGTAGAATTAATAAAACCACAGGTACATATGCACAAACTTTCACTATTTCTGTACTTGGGTGTGCTTCAATACTGAAAGTTCATTCGTGTTTATCAGCAAACAAAAGCTCACTCAAAAAATGAAGCTGTCCTTACAAACCTATATGATTTTTTTTAGCATTACATTGAGAAACTGTGAACTGCAATGTGTGCAGTTCTGTAATGTCAGCAATCTTAACATCAGACATTGACAATGCAAGTGTAAATATGTATATACACATACATATATCATTCTTGCATTGCATGGAAAAGAACTGCGTCAACATTCTGCCTAAACATCACTTTCCCAGGAGAAGTTCAATCAAAGCTTGAGAACAACATGCGGGCGATATGCATTTTTATATTCGAGTGAGCTTTTCCAAGGAATAACCTGGAATATTTGGGAATTCTGAACAGCGTACAGATGTACAATCATCTGCAAAATTAGTTTTAAAGAAATGTCTGAAATCCATTTCTCAATTGATCAAATCTGACATAAATCTGCTTAGCAAAAGCGAGCGGTAGTGGACGTGAACACGTCACACACGCCCGTTAGTGTATGGAAGCGGACTGATGAGGTTCTGTTGGAGTCGTAATGGCTTGGCTCTCTAATCTGAGCTATTTCGAGGTTCAGGGATGTTTGATAGATCACCACAGCAGCTTTACTGTACGCACTTGCTGAATTGGTTTCAATATCAAATGACCTAATCTGCGGTGTCATTATGAGCTGCAAAGCGTTGAAGCCCTTTGAATGCTTTTTCCATGTCACACAAACATTAAATGCTCTGGTATAGCTTTCACTACATGTTATATTCACATGTACACTTTAGGCAAAATTTGGTTCTTGCGAGTTGTGAAACAAAACCTCAAAACGCTGAAAATAAAAACAAGATACTAAAAGAATAAAAACTCTTTGGAAACAGCATTATTGCTTCTGTAACAGAAGCGTGAAGCACAGATGTAGGCAAGAGTAACATAAACAAGGCTGCAGTGAATCGGTTACATTCAGCACAACAGATCGCGTATGAATGTGTGTGTTTTGAGAGTTTGTGTTTAGTGATTTACACACATCTTGAGTTCTCTTAACGCTGGATTCATGAAACAAAAGCAGTTCTTTGAAAACATTCATACATCAGCTTTGTTAAATATTTTCAATTCAAACATTTACACAAGAATGATGTCAAATGTTTTTGTATAATTTCAGTGTGCCCTGATGAACCCTGCACTCAATGCAACAATTCACACAGTGGTTTTATGAAGTGGCCTTGTGAGTGTTAAATGCGACAGTTTAACCATGAATCGTTTTGAAATTCACAGCACACGTGTGAATCTCGCATTCAACTAAATTTGTGCATGACTGTCTACACCAATGATTTCACTGCAAGCTTGTTAATGTTATATTCCATGGATTAAATATACATAAGAATGGCTTTACGAACGATTTACACAAAAATATTGTTCTCCTTGTGTTTCATGAATGAGGCCCAATACTTTTTTGTAGTGTTCCCTTGCGAATCTTTTCATCTCGACAATGGAATTAGTGGAATTACTAAAAACTAGCGTATCTTGACAAAATAATGCTTCGATTTACATAAAAAGAATTGACGCGGAAAATCAAAAGGAAAGAAGACTCTCTCGAAGCCAATTCACTTATTTAACAACAGAATAGTGTTATGATTTCATTATATATTATACTCTACTTAAACTCTATTTACATTATTGAACTCAGAATCTATGTTGAACTCTGACCTCTGAAGGTCGGCATGGCACTGGAGGGTAGAGGCTGAGTTATACAGTAGTGCCACAGCTGGGGGCGCTCTATCTATTGGGGCTTGTTTTATCACACACTGATTGGAATGCCAGGAACAGTTTTCCGTGTTAGTGTTATGTGTTTAAAGTAACATCCCACCCTGTCCATTAAGACTTTTGAATGCATATTTTTTCCCTTGCGTTAGATGAGGCACACTTGACAACAAACACTGATAAATTCACGTTAAAGCTGTGTGTTTGTCTTTTTGGCCCCCCTCCACACCTGTGGCGGTGAGAGATGAGCTACTCTCAGTGGACTGTTCCCCATCCAACAGAGGAACAGAAACAGTGGTGATGGGTCCACTCAAAAGGGATGTAAGGTGCGTGTCAAACAATCACGTGTGTAATGCATATGCACACAAACACACACCTGGCCCCGACGGCGTGTTTGGGAATATGACGTGTGAGGAGTGGGTGACTGAGCTCATGTCTCCCAGCCCAGGTGCTGGCCGCGCTCCAGAGACTGAGTCTTGCTCTTGTGTGGGGGTGAAGGGCTCGGTGGGCTGCTCAGGTTGGAGCTGTTGGAGGCCGTGGAGTGACGTGGCGAATCTGAATCCTAAAAGCAGGACACAGAGATGATGAATAAACAGACTAAATACACTACTGCTTTTTCCTCAGCAAGGATGCAATAAATTGATCATAAATGACAGTAAAGACATTTATAAAGTTATAAAACAATGTTAATAATTAGAAATGTTTCTTGAGCAGCAAATCATCATATTAGACTGATTTCTGAAGGATCATGTGACACTGAAGACTGGAGTAAATTCAGCTTTGAAACACAGGAATAAATTACATTTTAAAATATATTTAAAGGTACGCTATCTAATGTTTTTTTGTTCAAAACATTCACATAATGAATACATCAAATAGTTAGGGGTGTGACGGTTATTATATAACCGTGAGAGACCGACGGTTATAGTTGAACGCCGTCATTAGAACTCTATAACCGCCAAAACCGTGCTATTAAAATATTTTTTACAAACATTTTTTATCATAGCTAGAATGTTTAAATACTAATATCAGCTTACGAGGGAAACGGAAGCGGAGTTAAGCCCAATTTATACTTCTGCGTCGAACTCACGCCGTAGCTACGCCGTAAAGGCCAATTTATACTTCTGCGTCGAGTGTACACCGTAGTGTACGGCGTACGCTACGCACGTAGGCGACGCCGTCATGAGCATTTATACTTCTGCGTTTAGGTCTGCGTTGCTCTGCAGTACAGCGCCGAAACGCTAGTTGGCGGCGGAGGGTTTTAATGTTCCACTGTGTTTAGATTCCTCGCGGCAAGAAGAAGAAGATTCCTCGCGGCTGTTTTGAGTTTAGGTTACTACAAGCAATGTCGACTGAAAGAGAGCAGATCATGTTGGAGTTGGAGCTTATCGAGGTGGAAAAGGTAATTTTTTTTTTTTTTTTTTTTTTAGTTTCGCTGTACTTAGAATTTAAAAATGGCGGGCGGTGCAGAAGAACACGCCGGAAATACATAGGAGGAAACGCGATGCTCCCAAGCCGACCAATCACAGATCTTGCGGTCCGCGTCGTCGCGACGTGTAGTTACATTTTTGAGGAGGTGCGCGTCAGGTTACGGTGAAGGGTACAGCCTGTTTTATGCTTCTGCGTCGAATCGACGGCGTACCCCCGCAGAGCCCTCTGCGTCGGCGCGAACCCCTCTCCGACCCCTCCGCCGTAGCTCGACGTGCACCTCCAAAAAATTGTAACTACGCGTCGAGGCGACGCAGACCGCAAGGGCTGTGATTGGTCAGATTATACATCATTTCGGGAGTGTAGCTTTTCCGGTTTCCCCCTCCCGCTATACCGCCATTTTTAAAGTGTGCATTGTTTCAACGATGTATCACGTTGAGGAACGATTAAATCACTTCTGCGATTAAACATTTGCAATAAAATAATTTGTTGTTCAACGTCGATTAGTTCCAGCTGCAACAACATTCTCTCTCTTTCGCTCGCCATTACGCGCGTTTCCATTACAGATTTGCGCAAAACTTTTGCCTTTTTTTTCTAAATGTCGATAAAAAACTATTGCCAAATGACCGATGTTTTGCGACTAAACGTCTTTTTTTCCATAATCATTCCAAAAATCATGGCAACGGACGTTGGTAGCCACCGCACTAGACATTATTATTATTAATGGAAGACGCATTAATGGCATTAATTAATGGCAGGGAAAGACACGGAGTTCTCCCTCATTTCAGCTCCGAGGTCTTGATTGTGGCATTTCTTTGAGGTTTAGAGTCCAGTAGGCTATTCCTGTAATTATTGTTTCTTTTATGAATTTTATGAATCCATTCGTTTTACCTTATTTAACCCATAATTGCAAAACGAAAAATGAACGGTTGTTGTATTTTTGAAACGCAAAGTTGAACACCAAAATTTAAATTTGAACTGTACACCAAATGCTGAAAAAAAAAAAATATCAACGAATTTTCAGATAGGCCTAATTGTTTATGATTTTTTTGCCCCTTTATTAAACATTTAAAATATTCACAAATTAATATAGAAAAAATGTAGATTTTACTGGTTTTCTAAGGCCAAATTAGAACCTGGAAATAATATTTTTCCCGGAGTGCTGAATGAGAAGAGCCATAACCACAGAGCCTACAGAAAGTTGATTTATAGGTGAGATATATATAGGTTATAATAAATGTTTCTGAAAAATTAACGAGGCATTTTAATTGTTTATTAATAAACTATTGTTTTCTAAATCAATGTCGGCTAAAAACATATCTCCATCTCCGGATGCACCTTTAGAGAGAAATGCACCTTTCACACGGATTACATAATCAGAAGGTATTAGCTTTCGATTCGAATTTGTTCGTTTTAAAGTGGACATTTCAAGCTTTAGCCTACATAGGCTATTTTTGTTTCAGTTCTCGCGCTTCAGTTCACAGAGACCATGAAAGCGCGCCTGATTGATTTATTTTATTTTACAAAAGCAAAACGTTTTGTCGTTATTGTGAGTTTACGCAAATAAAAGAAGTTGCGAATAATGTATTATTATTTTCTGTATGACCAGAAATGATTGAGTATTTTAAGTAGTTTCCACCGTTGATAGGAAAACGCAAGTGTTCGCGCCCGAGCCTCCCTGCCATCCAGTGCGCGCTCCGCACTCTGCACACACACTTGGATATGCGTCAAAAGCTTGTGTTTATTTGTGATAATCTTAGCCCTGCCTATTATTATTGTCCAACCTGTATTTTGAATGAGATGTGACGAATTGCTTTGTTCCTTTTTTGGATAAAAGCGTCTTCTACATATGTAGCCTAATAAATGTTTAATGATTATTATTATTATTTGCGGACACGGACCCCAAACACACCGCGTCTTCTAAGGCAGGTGACTGTAAATGCGCAAAACCTGTTTCCAAATATTATATTCAAATATATTCAAAATATTCCTTTTTCAAATTGCCTGAAAAACCTCCTCATGCGAGTGTAAAATCTTTTTTTGCGATAAACGGGAGTTTTTGCGAAATGCGTATTTTCAATTCGCAATTTCAATTCGCGCAATTTGAAGGGTAATAGAAAAGAAAGCGGAACCGGCGCACGGAACCAAAACAAACTAGCAAAGAGATTCGCAAAGCACACACCACCCTAGCGTTCTGGCGTTGAAATGCACTGCGATGCAACGCAACCTGACGCAGAACCATAAAACGGCCACGACGCCGTAGGAGTGACGGCGTAGCTACACCGTGGAGTTGACGCAGAAGTATAATGAAGCCTTACGGCGTATGGTACGCGTCTGTGCGTATGCTACGCCGTACCTACTGCGCGCACCCGACGCAGAAGTATAAATTGGCCTTAAGCCTTGTTTATACTCGACGCGTCCGCAAGAGCGCGAAGTGCGCGTGGCAAAAATGACGTCATTGCGGTGTGGGCGGTCGTGCGCGTTGGGTGCGCAAGACCCCATTTCGCCTGGCGGTGTGCACGGCACTTTTTGTAACATCGCGCGCGGCGCCGGATCCGAAGATGAACGACTTCCAGCCGAATCTGGCCGAACTGGTACGTCTGTACCACCATGTTTATGATCCTTCTATACACAGAGACATTTGCATTGATGGGCGACCATAAAAGCCTCTCATTTTGTGAATAGGAACACATTTACATTAAGCACCCAGTTTGCACTTGTCTAAAGTAACTGCTTACATTTACAAAATAAGCCTACAATAGCAGAAGTAAGCCCTGCTGATGAAATTAAGGTTTAAACACTCTTCAATAAGCCTTCAGTTGTTTACTAGTTTACATGCAGTGAAAGTACAATACACCTACTGCATTTATTACTCTTTTTATATGAATCAGAAATTAATAAACTAAACGGCAAACTACTTCTTCACTGCTGATTCATGGTGGTTTAGAGGAGAATTACTCCGAGTCGCCCCCTGTCGTTTCACAGAATAGCACAACGGCGAGCGCGTCAAGTATAAACGCCTCGTCCGTTTGGAGAGGTGCGCGCGCAGTCAGCGGAGACTCGCGCTCGTGCGGACGCGTCGAGTATAAACAAGGCTTAAGCCTTGTTTATACTCGACGCGTCCGCACGAGCGCGAAGGTGCGCTCGGCAAAAATGACGCGTTGGGTGCGCAAGACCGGCATTTCGCTTGGCTGTGTTCACGGCTTTTTTTTGTAACAGCGCGCGCCGCCGCGTCTGAGGATGACCGACTTCAAGCCGAATCTGCCCGAGCATGTATGTCTCACCCAAGGGGGTAATCCATCGACCGGAAGTTGAAGCCGGCCGGGTGCCGCCATGTTGTAGCAGAACATCACTTGCGTTAGCATTTCCATTGACTCCCATTCATTTTGGCGTCACTTTGACAGCGAATAACTTTACATCTGAGGCGTTTAAAGACTCCATTTGTCCATTATTTATTTCTAAAGAAACACGACAATGTATAAAGGGCTCCATTACCTTCTATGTTACACTATGGCCCCGTAGAAACAGATTTAGTAAAAATAGGCTAACGATTGCGTCATAACCACTCGACTCTCTGTCGCGCTGTACAGAAGTTACCGTACAGACAGCAGGAGAAGCTCGCAGGCAATCGGGGGGACGTCCCGTCAAGGGAGAAGCCCATAGATAATGAGTCCATAAAAGCAACGGAATTCTTACTCCTGCTCACTCACGCCAAAGAACTCTTTGCTCAAGTTCCCCGTCTCTGCAAGGTTAACGTTGGCAGTTTTCACGCACAGCTACTAGAAGATTAACGTCTGTCAGACAGGTTGCTCACGTCATCAAGCTTAGTTTGAGTCGGTCTGAGTCTGCGCGTCAGGAACGGAAGTTCTCAAAAATCGCTAAAAAGTGGGCTTCAACTGTCTCAACTGAGTTCCAATGAGATGGCTCTGTCCATTTCTTTTACTGTCTATGGTCTCACCGCACCGGCACGCAGTTTGCGCGTCTAAATCGCAAAGTTCATTTGTTAAGGTTTTGTTTACTGTGTGTGATTCATTTAATGGAAAGCACATTCACTTCTAGTTTTCTTGCTGTTCATTGTAAGAGCGAGTTGTCCTATAACAGACGAACAGTTATTCAACCGAACGTCCTCGCGACGCGGAGATGGTGTTTTTATTACTCAGCTGGTGAATAAGGTATTTTCTTGAACAGATAAATTGTCATATGTAGCTCTCTAACAGAGTTCATTGTAAAGCATCATCTATTGTGAAGGTAATTTCATTATGGCTGTTGTAGCTGTGCTGGAATTTATTTTCAAGGAAGTACCGCATCTATTAACAGGTAAAGCTACAGTGACATCTTCAGCCAGACCGCTTGAGAACCTTTCAATCTAAACTGGTTATATCTCTTAAGACTAATAGTGAATGTTTTATGAGCAGTAGAATTACCATATTCATCCACACAGTCACACAGAGCTGAAGCACAACCAAAACAATGTTCTTCTGCAAAATGCATGCAGTTATGTTTTTTAACCGCTAGAGGGCCAAAAGTTATAGTGTACCTTTAAGGCAAAATAACAGCTGACCATTTTAACCCATCTCCAATGCTCAAGGACAAATGATGTAACTACTGTATAAATATATAAAAGTTAGAACTAGAGAACAAATTGTATATCGAAATTCCTGAAAATAAGACACTTCGCACAACATTTACTCAAAATCCATTAAAAAGATCTGAAAATATTTGTTGTCCATTTACTCGGCTGTTGGTAGATTTTGAGTCTGACATAAATCTTCATCTGCCATGCAGAAACATGTATTGGCTGATGTAACCGTTTAAAAATAGACAAACATCAGCCGATTAAAGAGTTCATCACTCACTAGCTAGAACAACCACGACGAGAACTCCTCCTCTACACAATATAAGTGGATGTAGGTGCTATGCAACACATTAATGCAGGCAAACGCTGTACACTTCCACCACCTACACAGATCAAACACGCTTTCAATGTGGAGACAGCTCAACTAACCCATTCCCTCCATATGAGGTGGGAGCTACAGGGTTCAGGGTCATGTGTGTTACCTTTAGCTTACTAAGCAGGGTCCTTAAAGCCCTTTTCAGATCAGGGGTCTTCTCTGTGGGTGACACTCCCGGACACTAAAGAGTCACACACAGCACCCACACATCATTATACAGTCAATCTGCACAAAGTCAAGCGTGGAGCCGAGGCGCAAACTGTGTGTGTGCAGGTGGAGTGTTAGCAGGTCAACACCTCAATCTGTGGATATGGTGCCACTCAACACATGCATGTAGCGTGAGAAAGAGAGGATGGAGACCCTCCAAACACATTTTGGTATGCGAAATGCAACGAATGCCTGTATATTGGTTTTTAGGGATTATATAACACACTTCTAGTGCTCTCTATTGAGTTTTAGCTGTGATCAGCAGCGCACAAAAACCTCCAGGAGTGAAACTTTTACCTGTTCTGATCAGTCTGGAGGTCGAATCAACATGTTAAATTAACATTCACAAGAAGAACACACCATTAAGGGGCAAATACCCCTTTACAATTGAAATCCCATCTGTCTTGTCATTCAGACATTTCCACATGACTATCTCAGCAGAAGGGTTGCAGAAAATCAATATTTTATCTATAAAGAACCAAATTTTTAGCAATAAAAACCTTTAAAGTCTCCCCCCCCCCCCCCCCCAAAATCGTTTAGTTAAAAATATATATATATATTATTTGCTTGCTGTTTTTTTCTTTAAATGCCAAAGTTAAAAATTAATATGTAAAATACTTTAAGAAACCAAGGCATCTGGAAAAGAAGCCACTGACCTCTCTGTCAAACTGGGAGAGAGGGGCGTCACTCCCGCAGTCCACGCCCCCTCCGGATGAGAGCGAGCCTTCAGAGGGTGATGTCATCTGACGTTTGGTGGAACCGTAGTTGCCAACCGAAAAGTCCCGTCTCATTGCGCTGCCATTTTGAGCGGTGGAGCCTGGGATATGGGACACAGATCCTTAAGACATTTGCCGTGTCCCAATTCACCTACTTCTACTATGCCCTAAAAGTATGTACTGTTTTTGTCAAGAAAAAGTACACACTTTTGAGTGTGTAGCAGAAGACTAGGCAAGTTTTGGGACACACTGCTTCATCACATAATTGCATCTTTAACGGACAGCTCTGTCGCTTAGTTACACGCATCCTGTCAGCGTTTAAACTGCCCTGTCAATCATCCCTCCACCATTTCGGAGAGAAATATAGAAGCATGTTGATCTGCCAGTCGTTGGTCTTTCATGTGGAGAACTCTCCTTGTGTGTTTGCATAATGATGCATTCAAAAGTTAATGACTAAATATATCTTTATAAAGGTTCACAATGCTGTTACAAATTAAACATAATGTGGAAAACATTGAACAAATATATTTTCGTCAGGTTAGATACTGATTATTAATCACTTTTATTCGTGTTTGTAGTTCTAATCGAATCCTCATCCAACACTCAATGGGTTGTGGGCAATATTAGTAGTTAGAGCGAGCACGGATCTGCACTTTAGATTCTAACTGGAAATAGTAAACCATCCGGGTATCTTTGGAAAACTCATTTCAGCATACTACGATTTGGGACTAATTCTAATTTCTAATACTATTTACGACGGATAGTATGCGTATTGGGAAGCAGTCATTGACTCATTTACCATGAGAACCTGAAAAGTTCAAATTACACTATGTCCGATGCAACATCAATTGATGACGAAGTTTAAAAGCTCAAAAGAACATCCGAAAGTTCAAAAAGAGCAATTGGAAAAAAAGAAAAGAAAATTCAAACATTCAAAAAACGTTCAAATTTTCAAGACAGTTTGAACATTCAAATCAAAGTACAGTTTGATCATTCATTAGACAGTTTTAGAGTTTATAAGAGAGTTTGAAAGATCACAAGGAAGTTTGAAAATTCAAAAGACCAATTGCCCTTAACAACAAAAATACATATTTCTGACCATATGTACACTGCACTATATATCTTTTGTTTTTAATATATACTGTAATATATATATATATATATATATATATATATATATATATATATATATATATATATATATATATATATATGCCAAAAAAAAACAGTTAATTTTCTACCAACAGTATATATTAAATATATCTTTTGTTTTTAATATATACTGTAATATATATATATATATATATATATATATATATATATATATATATGCCAAAAAAAAGTTAATTTTCTACCAACAGATGAAACTAAAAGCAAAAGTTTCTTGAGTCATTCTTATCCATATATATATATATATATATATATATATATATATATATATGAACATATTTCAGTACTCACGTGTGCCGAGACCACTGCTGGCGCTCATAGATCGGCCCGGTTCAGGCCTGGCCTTGGTGATGGAGGGGATACTGACGGATGCTCCCAGGACACCACGACTCTCCTGAGCGCGCACATTCTGAACACCCCAAACACACAGTGGGCAGAGAAAAACATTATTATTACTGAAATCAAACAATAAATCAATTCACAAAAGCTAAAAATACACCAAAGTCACTGTAAATTATCATCAATTATAAAGCAAGGGGAAAATTAAATCATTTTCTCACTTAAGTTTTTTAATAAGATTCATAAAACCAGCAGTATACACAATATTTTGTCATTTAACAAAACCCATTAAATGTAAACTTAAATTTGTGGTTTTTAATCCATGTCTGTTAGCATTGAGGTCATACCTGGTTTTAATCCTTAAAGGTGTAGTAAGCGATTTCAGAGAAACACTGTTGATATTATAAATCAACCCAAACAAACAGCAGCACCCCAGAAACCCTTTATTGCTCCGCCCCCAAAATGCACAAACACGCAAAGAGTAGATGTCTCTTTATCATAGCTGAAGTGAAGCAATATAATGCTTTAATGACACTCAAAACTGCCCTGTTACTATAGCTAATTACAACAACAGCATATCTTGGTTCTGTGAAATGAATCAAAACCAGTGTTACTCGCATACAGAGCAGAAATAATGCAACCTCGGCATCCGTTTACAGGCCTTCCCGCTTGGGTCTCTCCAGCGCTGGAAAGCTTTTCTAATATAAACACAGGTCCTAAAGCTCTTGCCTGATCATAACCCTTCTTTTTCGGTGATATTCCTCTTTTGTAATGTCTCTCAGCCATCTCTCTTTCTACAGTCTTTCTTCAAATCTCCCTCTTGCTCACTCTCTCTCCTCCCCCATTATGAGTGGACACACCCCCATTTGCTGATTGGCTACAGGTGTGTTGTGGTGCTCGACCCAACCACTTTTAACAGTGTTTTGCTTACTGTACCTTTAAAAAAAAAAAAAAAAAAAAAAAAAAAAACTAAGAAGGAAGATGATTTGGCATGCAGAGCAACAGATTGTCAATTTGAATTGTGACACAGGCAGACAGTCTGAAAACAGACTGAGGGTGAAAGTGAGCTAATGCATGTGGGAATACATTCAGAAAACAGATGGAGTGAGTGTGTCTCTCTCTCTGGTCCTACCAGAGAGCAGATGGAAGCAGGGGTCCCAGGGGCGGAGCTGAGTGACAGGGAGTGGGAGGAGAGAGGGGAGGAGTCCTGGGACAGGAAGTTGTCAGCAGAGGTGAGTGTCATGTGATAGACATGCTCAAAGCTGGTAGGGGTGGAGATGAGGCGCAGATGAGGAGAGGGGAGAGGAGAACCGGGCTACAGAAGGAACCCAAGAGGAGCAGATATAGAGGGGTGAAATGGAGGAAAAAGAAAGAAAAAATATAGATGCATGCAACAGTTTACTGCTCAATAATGGCGTAAATAAGAAGAATAAGTTGGTGACAAGTCAATGAGATAAAGTCATTTGAAAGACAACATGAAAGCAAAACTGACCCATTTACTTCCTAAATGTTGGTCATATAAATTGGCCATGTAACGTGACATTACGAAAGTCAAATGTGGTTTTATGCCATCTTTTAATCAAGCTCATCTATAAAACTGAAATAATACCAGTGGAAATAATTAACAGCTCATGCTCATTAAAACAGCTCTTAGAAACAGATGGATGGAGGCGTAGGATCTGAGAGGTGACGTTCTCCCTGCTGTCAGATGCTCCTACCATTGGCAGATCTTTCAGGATCTGGATCCCATCTCCCGGGCCCATATGAACCACATGGTTGAAGTTTGTTGGGTTTGAAATTAACTTGTTCCTCATTTCTGGGTCTCTCATCATCTCCCTGAAGAGCACAAACAATGCAGTGAGACTCAGAGCACATGAATACCTTCTCAAGACTAGAATAATTCAACAAATTGCAAACATGAAACTTGGATTACAATTAAGGGCTTTCCACAGTCTTACCTCAGGCTTCTCAATAAATGCATTTGTTTTTACAGAAACTTTCACTTGCGGTTTAGTTGCAAAGAATTACAAAGCTGAAACTGTAATGAATAATTTTATCTATTTTATGACATTTTCACAGATAAACTGTTGCACCGATACTAAATTTAGCCGATACCGATTATTTAGAATGATATCTGCAATATGATAGTTAGATTTTCTTAAGGAAAAAAAAAAACTCCCAACTAATGCTGTAAACTATACAGGGAACCTTCTCATTTGGTACATTACTATACTATTAGAGGTTAAAATGAACAACAGAGCCCCAACTACTATATTCAAATCCTATTTGTAACTTATTAATTACACATAGTGTAGTTTTCAAAAAACACTTAAATTTATTCAAACATACATATATAATTAACAGTAAATAAGCTCCTCTCTAGTGTTTTTTTTATTGCTAACTAATGAACTGTGAACACTGGATAACTGGTAAATGCAACGTTAAGTGACACGTTCACAAGCTTTTTTATTAACGTCTTTCCGCGATTGAAACACTGATGAGAGACATGATACATTTCATTAAGTTGGACTGTAACTTTCAACAAACCTTTTGATGTTCATTCATGTTTTTTGTGCTATAAAAGAGGAAGAGACGACTCCTACAGCAACTGTCACGTCACATTTAAGAGCGTCAAAACACCATTACTAAATTTCATGATAAAACGGTCAGAATTTTAAAACTGAGACTTTGTTTCTTATCAGAACAAGGCACAAATCTCTTTGTGATTATTGGATGGGAGGCGCTACAAATATCAACCCTCTACGCACACAAAATGCAACAAAAAATATATTTTGCTTGTAGAGCGTCAATTCCGCGTGGTATGCAAGACTCCCTCGCTTTGCGTGTGTGTGCGAAACTCTCAGCAAAGCGATGGCGAGTTGTGCGCCTTCACACTAGAGTTTACGGTACGCTGCGCATCCACAGAGCTGCATTGAAATAGTACAGATCGCTTGACAGAGAGCAAAACTCTCAAGCGCTCAGTCAGTGTTCAGCGAGTGAAAATATATCTATGCTAAACTTATACTTAGCCTCTAACACACACACACAGGCGTGTAAAATCTAGAAATGTATTATCCAATGGCTAGTGATAGACATTTAGTCGCCTAGAGTGAAGATTTAGTCGCATTGAAGAGGGTTGATATAGTTGATATGTGGGGACCTGGCAACCCTGGCTTGAACTACAGGTGATTCAAATAGAGCCTGCTTTAACATTGATATTTGTTTTTAACTGTTAATGTGTTATTGTCACGTTCTTCAACAGCTTCAACTTCAACAGCCCTAAATTTAACACAAGAAACGTTTTCTTCACACACATTATGAGTTGCAGTCTGACAAGTTTTTCCACCCCCTGACTGACACAATATATTCGGCCTGATCATTGGCTGTTTTTAAACAATTGTCAGATGACCGATAGTGAAAATAATACAGATTATTGGCCGATACATCGGTGCATCCCTAACAGACTTGCTACTGACCTCATAAATATGTAAATAAGAATTTTAAACCAGGGATAAAATAATTATAAACAGCGTGAAACATGAAACATAATTTTTTCCTAGGATTTAGAATGGTCTAAAAATGAACAATTTCAAGTGTGAAAAGCCCATAAGAGTTTCCAAGTCATGCTGGTTAGTGTTGCTAGCCTTGAACATCACCTCCTCTGCAGAACTCTCTCCTCCTCCGGCACGCGGAAAGAAAAGCGGCGTTTGCTCGTCACACTGCGCACCATCTGTTTACGGCTGTTATCAGATGTCTCTGGCACCACCAGCTCATCTCCCTCTGCACATCATCACACAGTACACAAAGCATTAAACACATTACACAACACATTTAACGCTATGAAACGATGGAACAACAAACGTCTGTTAGGATGGAAAAATTGGTTAAATCATATGCATGAGTTTAAGCTTCCTATTCACAAGATGCTATTAAGCCAATTCTTTACATTTTAACAATATGAAATCAAAATCGACCCCATTCTATTTTTAATAGCTAAATGTTCCTAAACCTAGCGTGAAAGATTGATCAGTGCAAATTATTAAGAAAACAATGTTTGTGTGAAAATGCATTAGCTTTCTCTGCCTCTGAAACAACTTTTCACTTTCGTATCTTTTATTTCCTGCTGAATATGCATAAATACGTGGGGCAGGAATATTGAGAATCCTGGAGGAGCAGCAGGAGGGAGAATCTCACCCGCTGTCTTGTTTTTAAAGTAGATGAGCCGTACGGTCTCCAGCCCCAGCAGGTTTAGAGAGCCATCGGCGTTCAGAGGATGAACCTGCAATGCAGGAGACACACAGCTCATTAACACACTAAACTTTCATTTACCACCTGCTTCTACTATATTTTATTCCAAAAAGAGATGAGAAGCTCTCTCTGCAAGTGTGTCTTTTTTAGGATGTGGTATTATTGAAGATACGATGAAAAGTGTACATTTTTCAAAGGCATCGTTTGAATCCAATCCATAGTGTTGACGTCGAATACATCCACTGCATTCTCGCTATACACTGACAGATAAGGTGCATTATAACCTGCGAGACATAAGTCACAGAAAACAAACAAGTTATCCTCAGCATGCCTACGTCCCAGGACATTTTATGCAAATTATGAGCACAACATCCGCAACTATTATAATCTATGAGCACATAACTACAACAATGCACACTCTCAACTTGAGTACACAAAATATCTAGCGTAAAATAAGGTCCTACTATTTACATAAAATCAAATATATATTATATTTTAAATATAAATGGGTGATATGACCAAAATCTTATATCACGATATGAGTAATAAAAACAAAGAAACTAAATACAAGCATAAAGGAAAACTAACTACAATAGAACAAAGACATAAACGAAATAGACCTCCCTGAAAAACTTCAAGCATTAGAAATAAGAAATACTAGGCTACATAAAGGCTACGTAAGCATATAGAGAAATGAGTTCTATTTCGCAGCTTATTGCACTTCAATGATCTAAAATCACTTGTTTTTAAACCACTGTACATATATCAATTATATTATAAAACCATTTTGCCTTTTTTTAGAATAATACATTTCAAGTGCAGTAATTTCATCCAATTCTGTTGATTGGTACTATCACACTGTAAACAAGTAAACACAAGCCATAATAATCAGAACAGAAAGACCAATCGTCACTCACGGCACGAGGTGGGCTTAGCCGGCCACATCAGTTCCTGTTGTCGTGAACGTCTGCCCTGGCAGTCCACATACACACCGATACTGTTAAAGCACAAGAGCAGCTCTTTACTGGAGATCTCCACGAGGCAGAGAGCGTCCAGGCTCAGATGCTCGATGAAGGCCAGGGTGTGGTCGTCAGGGTGAAGGAGGCTATTGACCGCTCCATCCCCCTGAAGGTTGTAGCGCAGGAACCCGGACTGGAAGCCCACGCAAAGCTTGTCGCCCTGGAGACCCATCCACTGCACTGATCCTGGGACGATGATATCCCGCAGCTTCCGATGGCGTGTTTTGCTCTTGATGAGCTCGTAGATGATCACCTTGTCAGGTTTTTTCATGGCCACAAAAAGCCATGTGTGAGATCCGTGTCTGATTGAACCCGAAACCAGAGTTTGGCAGCCTTTGGTCTCCGCTATTTTGCAGAATTCGGCATCTCGGTCATCTAAGGCCGTCATTGGGTAGAGTCGCACGTGGCCGTTTCGACCGGATATCACGGCAATCAACTGTTCTGATGGGATTAGCTCAATCTGATGGACCTTTTTATCTCCTACCTTGACAATCTCTGTGAATAGAAATATATATAAACAATAGGAGGCTTTGTATTAACATCAAAGAATGCAGTAAGATGTCTAAAAATACAGTGTAAACTCAACAGATAAGTACAGTAAACGCAGATAAAGCTTTTAATTACGCTTACCGTCTTTGGTAACATGAATAACGTACAGCCCTTCCTCATTACCCAGGGCTATCCTCTCATGATCTGTGGATAAATAGAAGTGTAGTTAAAATAAACAGAAAGCAGTTTGATAAAGCTACGCTGGATTGAGTTGGACTTGTGCGGACCAGTTCTTAAATTGTTGTTTTATTAAAGAGGATTTTTCTTGCTCTATTGAAGTACGGGAATTCAAAGAATTTATAAATGTTATATAAAAATTCAGCAGTATATCTTTATATATTATTATTTTACACACACACATTATAATTGTATTTTTAAATATCATTATATATATATATATATATATATATTTACTTACAGTATAATATATAATATATAAGACTTGTCATGTGCTTCCTGTTTAACAACAGAAATGTAATATTTTCTTCCATCTCGTGGATTGGTACCATCACTTTTTTGTGTGCAAACAAAGCACTCGCATCACGTCATAAAATTGAGGTTAAACCACTGGAGCTCTCAGATTTCATTAAAAAAATCTTCATTTGTGTTCCGAAGATGAACAAATGTCTCTAGGGTTTGGAATGACATAAGGGTGAGTAATTAATAACAGAACTTATATATAAAGTATATAGTTTTGGGGTGAACTATCTCTTTAGCATTATGATCACTCACATACACAAGGTGAGCAGATATCTACTCATTTCACATGTGAAGAGGTTAGCCAATCATATCAGAGATTATATAAATATGGAAGTCTTAATGATTGTTATGTAATAAAAAACCTTGACATTAACATTATAAACCTAAGATTATTGGGATGTGGTGGATTGTACCTATAATAGCAGCAGCTTGTGTGGTTTTGATGAGAGGCAATGTGCTGTCATACGCTTCTTTAGGGACGTAAACGAAGCGTTCTTTAAGTTTGCTCTTCTTCAAGAGGCGGTGCAGCTCGTTCAGCAGGCCAACCCACTTGGTTCTTTCCTGATCGCTGTCGGCCAGGATCAAGATGGAACATTTCTTATTGCTGGATGAGGAGAGCTGTGACGCTGTCACCTGCAGGAGAGGAAGAGGACAACAACTTCAAATTTTACCACTGAACACAGGCACAAAATCCTTTTCTTAAATTACAGTACAATACTAATGTTACCAATATGAACTTATGTAAATAAAATATTGTACAATCATGTTCAACTCACCCTGAAAATACAGGGAATGTCCTTCCTGTTCGCATGAATGACATCTGATGCCAAAACTGAGCTAACTGAAAATTCCTCGTCCCTGCGAACAAAGAGAACGATTTAGATGTCATGCAAACACAGTCATTAGAATCAAACACAGGACCAGATGTTTGTTTTGAAGTTCTCACTGACCTCATGTCAATAACCTGGTTCACTGTGACACCGGGCTGAGCACCTTTGCCCTCCGGGAGATCATATAAGAAGAGTTTGAAGTCACAGACCACAGCGATGGACCTCTGCCACCCCTTCTTCACACCTAATGGTTTCGGCACCTAAAAGAAAAGATCTCAGAATTAGTTCTCAAATTACTGAAAACAAAACTGTTCATCTTAAACGGATAGATCACCCAAAATGAGAATTCTGTCATTATTACTCACCCTTATGTCATTCCAAATTCGTAAGGCTTTCGTTGATCTTCGGAACACACATGAAGATCTTTTTGATGAAATCTTAGAGCTTTATGTCCCTCCATTGACAGCTACGCAACTACCACTTTGATGCTTCAATAAGTTCATAAAGAGATCTTAAAACTAATCCATATGAATTGAGTGGTTTAGTCCAAATTTTTTGAAGAGACACGATCGCTTTATATGATAAACAAATTGAATTTAGGATTTTATATATAAACTTTATGTGCGAGAACCAATGAGGTTCTTCGTGTTACGCAGCACGTTTGAGCTTCCACAGGAACCAATGAGGTTTGTTCTTGCACGTCAAGCAGGTTCGCTTGAGCTTCTGTTTATGTTCGCTGATCAATGTTTATATGTGAACAAAAGCCTAAATTAAATCTGTTCATCATATAAAGCGATCGAGTCTCTTCAGAAAATTTGGACTCTGCGCTATTCATAAGGATTCGTTTTACGATCTCTTTATGAACTTTTTTGAAACATCTGTGGCAGTTGCGTAGCTGTCTATGGAGGGGCAGAAAGCTCTCAGATTTCATCAAAAATATCTTCATTTGTGTTCCAAAGATCAACAAACTATCCATTTAATTATTATATTATATTATTTTATTATACAGCAATATTTAATTTGGTGACAGACTATTTTTAAAGCTAAAACATTATAGGTTGAAAGAATAATAAGTTAATCCTGGTCCATTTTCCAGGAAGATAAAAACTTAATGTTTATCTGCTGATAGTTAGTAATATTAACAGTAATGGTTTTGATTACAAAAATGTAATGAGGATTTAAACTAAAGCTTCTAACCTTGACGTGCCCCTCATAAGCTGTGCCGATGCCCTTCTGGGGGTCGATACCCAGCGGTCCTTTGGTTTGATCCGGTGGGATCGGGCACACGGCAGGAGCTTTGTCCGCACACGTCACATGACAGGAGAAATTACAGACTGCAGGAGGAGGAGAACAAGGTGAATGCCAATCTTAACGTCATTTACCATTTCCATGACAACCTCAGCTGAGCCCTTACCTTCACACGTACAGCCCTGCCGAATGATTCCCACCATTAGAGAAGTACACTGGTTGCACTTAGTGGCCGTACTGAAGGTCTTCACCACGAATTGATGGGCCTTTGGCTAAAAAGAGCAATTTAGAAAATGATAAATTACAACATATTACTAAATATAAGATATGTTTGACTGGCTGATATGAAAGCAGTTGTAGAATGTGAGGAAAATGAATTACTTTAGGTGTGCTGTGACCAGAGCTACTGTATCCTGATCGAACGGGTGTTTGAGCGCCTCGTTGTGGATGATCTACCTGCTGGAAACATAGTCACGGCTATTAAGTCACAACATGCTAACATCCTATCAGAAATGTTAAAGCATTATCTGCACCGTCTCTTTTTCTAAATAAGTAAAGCTTTGTTCGAAAAACCTGCTGAGCTCCCTAACTAGACAGCCCTATAAGGCATCTAACCACATGCTTCTGACCACATTCTAAGGTGGCATCTTATGTGTCTGTATTGGATAAGGCAATCCCTGAATACACTGCAACAAGCTCTGTGTTAAGTTTCATCCAAAATGGCAGTTAAATGGACTAAGTTTCTGAGTTTTAGTGTTGCTAAAGGGGTCAGACATTGTGAAGTCACCTCTTGAGACTCCTGCAAATCGCTGGTAGTTGAGGGCGAGTGAGAGTGTGACGTGACCTGGGATCTTCCATCTTCCTCCCGGGATGGTGTGTTGGACAGGCTGAAGTTATCGATGGAATCAATCTATTGAGAAGGTTAGAGAAAGGAAACATTTAGACAACCGATCCAGCTGTACTATGAACTATGAGCAGCAGATGGAAAGCATAATGCATTTAGACCCACGACATGCCTGCTAAACATAACAACTGACTCTTTGAAAAGACATCATGCACATTAGCAGCATTTTGACAGGACAGACTCGAACAAGACCCAGACAACACGTCAATGATGCTTGACAGGAACAAGAACCGAGAATGTAGAGAAATCTGAAACGCAAACACCTCATGTCTGTTTCACAACAAGCTTCACAGTAGTTTAGAAAAAGCAATTATATGCAAAAGCGAGTTAGAAGTTGAGTCATCCAAACCTCAATTGGTATTGCAAGATGAATGGAATAAAATGTTTTCATACAGTATGTATTAGCTACAGAAAGTGTCAGTTTGCAGTCCAAATGCTCATGGTGAAGAAGAACTGAGGTGGAATTGACCCTGAATGTGACAGATAAGCATGTGCACACGAAAGACCCTCTGGGAAGTGTGGATATGTCGCTTCTGCCATGCAGTAGCAGACCGCAGACATGCATCAAAGTCACGCAATCAAACCAACAGAGATGAACCACTGCACCAAACACAACAAAAGGAGCTTACACGTCTGCCTTTGCCTGATGGCCCACAGGCAGTGGAGCACTTCATCACAGAAAAAAACAGACAGATAGAACGAGAGAAATAAAGAAAAAGAGAGCAAACAATATATAAACACGGACAAAGGGATTTGCACATTTACTTCATTTTAGAATTACGGTCTCAAAAGCCCAGAAGTAATAATCGAGAACGTATTTCAGCCAGTTATTTAATCCACAGTAAACCATGTAAAGACAGAGAATATAAGAGAAAACATAAATATCAAATAAATCATTATTTTCTGATTTACAAATGAAAAAGCAGACAGAATGAATTCATGTTATAAAGTCAAAAATGCTGCAATTTCATTCTAAAATGAAGCCACATGCCACGGTTTCAAAACACCTACATCAAACTGATCCAGGGCGGAGGTCGGAGCATTGAGGAAGGCCAGGAAGGAATTCTGGGAGTCTTGGTGCTTGACCCCTAAAACACATACCATGACTTTAATGTCCCATACAAACATATACACCATCAAAAATATCAAGAAATTTTGCCTGATTGATTTCAAATGATCAGGCTTTTACCTTTAGACAATCGCAGATTCTCAGTTTCCAGTTTCAGCCTCTGGATCTCTGCCTGCAGGTCCTCGTTCTTCTTTTCCAACTCGTCTAGCTTACTGTGCAGAACAGAAACAGACACAATTTAATGACCATAACATGATTAATTTACCAATATATGGCCATTTTTAAATTATCAATGCTGGCCACTGGTCAATTAACTTTTTACTGAATTATTAAAGTCAATGTCTTTAATTTCATTAAAGACAATGAAACAGAAGAATCAACTGATTTTTTTCTGTATTGTGATGTACATCCGAGTGCAACAGATATTAAAAAAGAAAGAAAATCTAGGGAACTATATATATATATATATATATATATATATATATATCAGTGGTGGGCCGTCAGGGCCAGCAAGGCCATCTCTGGTGGCCTAAACACTATCAGAATCACTGACTTGCATTTTAATATATTTTTTCCATGAATGAGTATTACATTATTCCCAATAGGCCCTTCTCTTAATTTCATAGCTTTTCTCTTGGTTGCGCTGCTTCCAGTAGTGTATGTTTATGTTAGAGCTTTTATCCAATTATATTTCTGCCGTCATGTGTTGCCATGGCCAAAGAAATCTGCCTTGAGGCCTTCAGAATCGACAGTGCGGGCGCCTGTAGCTTAAATGAATGGCAATGAAACTGTTGCTTTAACCAATCAGTCAGATTTAATCAGCCAATCAGATTTCGATTTCAGTCACGGAACACTATTCGATCTGTCCCGGGTAAAAACAGAACTAACTGACTGACTGACTGTAATGTAATGTATGTCATGACTGATTTTGAAGGCAAAAGTCCTGCTGATCTCATTGATTTCGTCCAAAAATCTGTGTGAGAGCATGGGTCAGCTGTACACATCGTCATGTTTTGCGGTGACTGTCCCTGTGTCCACTGTTTCTGTCGACCGGACATTCTCAGCACTAAAGCGAATTAAAACTTACAGTATGCCAGAAATACGACGAAACAGACTTGACTTTCAACATTAGCCTCGATTGTGATAGATAAGGTTGTTGGGACTCAAACGCACAGATAACCTGTACAACCAAGTATTTGAAGTCTTTTTGAGGAAAGAAATTAGGATGGATCAGTAATCAGTAGGTTTGGTGTGTATAATGCTTTTTAGCCCCCTGTTTTTTCCATGGTAAATATGATTTTTTTCTTAGTTTTTCTTATAAATTTATTATCAAAATGTCTTTTTTTTTTTTTAAAACATTCATACTATTGTAATGTCTGACAAGGGACTATTGCAACCCTTGGAGGACAAGACAAGGGAGTCTCCGTTTCTGAACTTATAATCGGAACGCAAGAACCACTGTACACTAACGCACAAGCTGAACTCACTCGTTCGTTTCTCTCTACCCCGTCTTTTCCGAACTCACCGCATTAACCCTATAACTGCCGGTGTGAAATAAAAACAGCAATTTCACAACAATTATAAAGAGTCTGTGTGCTGCTACACTATTAAAAGTTATTAATTCAGGTAGGACACCACTGAAGGGCTAGGTGTGAAATGCACGGCCCGCCACTGATATATATATATATATATATATATATATATATATTTTTTTTTTTTGTGTATATATATATTGTTTCTAAATGCTCAAATCATGACAAAAAAAATAATTTGTCATGCTGGAGCAGCCAATAGCAGTCATAAGCAGGGTTCTACGCTAAGGTTTTTCCCAAGGAGCACATGTGCTCCTAAATGAAAAAATGTAGGAGCACACAAAGAAATTTTGGAGCGCAGTGAAAATTTTTCAAGTAACAGAGTTTAACAAACTATTTATTATATATGTAGCCTACACTACGTGTGTGCTCCTTCTCTTTGTGTTCAACTATGGTGTGAAACCGTCGATTTGATGAAGAAGTATAAATCACACTTTACAATCACTTTATAAAACAGAATAAGGGGAATGGGTTGCTCTCAGGAGGAGGCTGGAGCACGCTGGCACACCTGGACATCTGCATCTTTACACAACATGGAGGAGATACTAGCTTAAATGAGTGTTAGTATTTACTGGTACTAGTATGTAATAGTATCTACAGTAGATTTAGTCGACTAAAATCTTATTGTATTTTGTAGACTAAAACTAAAACAATTCAGATGACTAAAATATAATGGGTTTAGTTCAATTGTAATGCATTAATTCAGAATTAACGAGCAGTGAATGTTATTCTCTTTTTCTTTTGTTGCTTGATGACACAGACCGCATTAGGTTTATTACCCACTGTCACTTTAAGACATCGGATCATGTCCAATGACATGCGGATCCAATTGCACTGATGCACATCCGATACACTCTCAACTGTTTAAGACATAACCGACAGAGTTTACATGAATACTCTCCAAAACGGACATTTCGACACAATAGTATTTGTCCATTCAGACACGAAAGAGAGCTCAGTTCAGTCCTCGCGTGCTGTCGTGGGTCGGGTGTGTGTGCGCACAGACAACCGAATACAGCTCTTTTTTTTTGCGTCGTCACTCTTATTCAGATCTATATGTCTGCTCTACTAATTCTCCCAGACGTTTACATTTTTTAACGTTTTATGAGATGCAGCGCATGTCAACCCGTGTGCCGCTGGGTAGATCAGCACGTTACAGTACAAATGTGCGCATCTACCAGAAACGTAAGACACAAGTTCTGACTGGATCGCTTCCCAAATCGTCAGTATCTAACATTTTTGTCTAGTTTTTATTCGTTGACAAAAATGTCAATAGATTTTCGTCATAGTTTTTGTCATTCAAAACTAGTTTTTATTTAGTTATCATCTCGTTTTCGATTATGGTAGGTTGTAGTTACTCGCACATTGTGCTGGTAAATCATTTTCCCCCTTCGCACGTATCGATTTTTAGGGGCATATGCGAGCAAAATGATCGCACTGTAGAGCCCTGATAAGCACACATCTCAGAACATTGACTGTTTTTATAGCAACCTGAGCTTCTAATGGCAGCTGCAGTGACGCAATAACTTTACCAATTGGCTCTTTTTCTTAGAAGGTGGGATTTATTCCGCCATATTGCGCATTGAAATTTCTCCCATTCATAGTAATATGAGTGCACCGTCTTTGTATATCTAAAGTCTTTGTTAATACCTATCAATTAATTTCCTGATGTACCGACAGGTACGTCCTACTGCAAGCTTTAAAGGAGAGATGTGTGTTTTACCACTCAGTGGCCATACTGGACGCCTTGACTTTGTTGAGCTCATCCTGGATGGTTTGTTTGGCTCTAATCTCGGCATCCACTGCAGACTGCAGCTCCAGACGGGCAGACATGTCCAGCTTAGCAAAACGTCTAATCTTCCATGGCATGTCCTGGAAAACCAGAAGAAAAGAGAATTAAACATCTACTGGGTCTCAATGCAGTACGATTGGGTGCCATTGAAATCCTTTAAATTTTGAAAAGGTCACTGTTTAGAATAAACTTTATTATTAAAACTAAGCACTAAGTTAACAGTCAAGATCAAAGTTTAGTTCTCTTACAGTAGCACGTGCACCCAGACTGGTGTTCCTCAGGCCTTCCAGTTCTTCTGTCATCTTAGTAGCCAAAGCCTGCAGATATCCTCGAGCATCTTTCTCATCACTGACCCTGAGAGAGAAAAACAGATGTTCAGAACCGCAATTACCAAACATGAACACAAGATGGCTCCACGGCCACGCAAATACCAAGGGTTTGGTGCCAAAGAAGCAGAAGTGAATAAACATTGAGAGGAGTAGCCAGCTTAATAACCATTATTTCACTTTTTGAGAAATTTGTATTACATTTAAGAATTTCCAGCAGTCGTGATTTTAAGCTTTCAAGCAATGGGCAAATGTTATGTCACATAATTAATATTCATTAGTCAAGCTGCTAAGGTTAATAATATGTCCCCACCCCACTCTTTTCAGATCATTCCTGCACTCCAGCACCTTGGGTCCCAGGTCTAGATTTGTATATACTGCCAAATGAACTGATGGTGCTGCAATTTCTTTTTGTTTTGGTCAATTTGTTTTGGAAATGCAAACTGATTGTGTATGTTTGAAATAGCTACTCTTGGGGATACAATGTCTGGAAAATAGCTAATAAGAGCTAATTAAAAGAAAAAAAAAGCTTGTTGGGGGATTTTCATAAAAAAGATGATGTTATAAAGAAATTATAATATACACTGCCCAGCCAAAAAATAAGTTGCTGTTTGGATTAAAAAAAGGCAAATCCATAAGAGTCTATGGTTGGATCATTGTTGCAGTGATTATTATGTTTCTAGCATGTTATATGTTTGGCAACAGTTCTTCTAATCCCAATTGATGGAGAGTGTAGCTTTTCATTCCTTAAACAACCATGTACAAGATCTTGACCAAAAATGTATGCACCTCTTAATGGAAATAACATCTCAACATGTATCTCCATCAAGAGGTGCATACATTTTTGGTCAAGATCTTGTCTTGAGAATGCAAGAGTCCAGCGCTCTGTAAAGTCTCCTCCAGCACATCACAATAACTTTCAATGAATTTAAGGTCTGAACTCAGAGGTGCTGATTCATGTGTGAAAATTATTCTTCATTCTTTCACAATTTGAGTCTGATGAATCTTGTCATTGTCATCCTGGAATATGGCCATGATGTGTCTTCCTCCTACATGGTTGCTTAAGAAATGAAAAGCTACACTCTCCATCAATTAGGGTTAGAAGAACTGTTGCCAAACATATAACAAGCTAGAAACATAATAATCACTGCAACAATGATCCAATCATAGACATTTGCCTATCTAATTCCAGACAGTGGCTTTTATGTTGGCCAGGCAGTGTATATTTGCTCCTTAAAGTTCAGGGTTTGGTTGGCCTACAACAGGGTCAAAAATGTACCATCGTTTGAGGGCAAAAAAACGCCCATGTCTTGTGGTGAATTCTAGGCCCTTCTAGTAATGAGTTTGTGTGTTTAGCACCTCAGCAGACTACATAGTGACCTGCAATGCACAGCAAAGACAACATGAAGTAACTACACTAACAGTGGAACTGACTAAATGGCTTTTATTTATTTAATTAGATTTTAATTTTCAGTTATCTAAGCATGATCAGTATGGAAGCATATGGGTAGGCAATATTCAATTTGAAATGTAATATGCAAAATGACAATGCAATATGTAAAATGGCATTGCATTCTGTATTTACATTTACATTTTACATTACCATTCTAGCAAGTTTGGTGCAAAATGAAAATGAAATTACATAATTTACATTTGCCATTTCATACACTAGTTTTATTATGCATTATTGAAACGCTTTATAAGTTGCAAAATTAAAATGAAAATGCATTACAGAAATGATTAGATATGTGTAGCATGTTCAAGCAAAAACTGTGGCAAAACGATCATTCAAATGTTATTTTTCTTAATTGCATTTACACTCACAGTCAAGACACTTGCGATTGCATTTTCATGAAATGTCCCGCAATGAATGTAGCAAAATTCAATGTGCACATTGAAAATGCATTCCGAGCCGGGCACGCCCCCTCCTGCCCTGTCAATCACTGCATCAAGGCGGGGCTTAAGTTGTGTTGTTTGTCTCTATGGCACTGGTCGGGGGTATTACGCAGAGGGTCAAGAAGGTTCAAGTGAGGCAACATGGACAAGTCAGTTGTTCCACAGCTTCTCCGAGAAGCTGCACAAGCAATAGAGCGACAAAGTGCAAATGCTGCCCCTTCAGAAAGGCCATCGTCCAGCTTAAGCATGACGCCTCCGGATCGAAGTGGTAGAACACGGGGTAAGTTGGCAGAAAGAGAAGAGACAAGGGTGTCGGTCGACGGTCTTCAAACGGCTAGACCTAGGGTTGCCAACTTTCACTCGGGGTCTGGACTGGAGTGTATTTGACGATCACACTCTTACGTGACCGTAGAGCGTATGTACGAAAAGTGCTCGTTTTGGCCAAAAAAAAACAAAACAAAAAAACGGGGTGACACCCGGCTTTACCTGCGGCTGCAGTCACACTACCGACCCCTTGTCTCTTCTCTTTCTGCCAACTTACCCCGTGTCCCACCACTTCGATCCAGAGGCGTCATGCTTAAGCATTTGCAGGGGCAGCATTTGCACTTTCTCTATTGCTTGTGCAGCTTCTCGGAGTGCCATAGAGACAAACAACACAACTTAAGCCCCGCCTTGATGCAGTGATTGACAGGGCAGGAGGGGGCGTGCCCGGCTCGGAATGCATTTTCAATGTGCACATTGAATTTTGCTACATTCATTGCGGGACATTTCATAAAAAAGCAATCGCAAGTGTCTTGACTGTGAGAGTAAATGCAATTAAGAAAAATAACATTTGAATGATCATTTTGCCACAGTTTTTGCTTGAACATGCTACACATATCTAATCATTTCTGTAATGCATTTTCATTTTGCAACTTATAAAGCGTTTCAATATGCATATTAAAACTAGTGTATGAAATGGCAAATGTAAATTATGTAATTTCATTTACATTTTGCACCAAACGTTGCTAGAATGGTAATGTAAAATGTAAATTTAAATACAGAATGCAATGCCATTTTACATATTGCATTGTCATTTTGCATTTTACATTTCAAATTGAATATTGCTACCCATATGCTTCCATAGATCAGATCCATCAGATTAAAATCTAAGAGCACTGATTCCAGATTAAAAGGTGATTAAACAGTAAGGTAAAAGCATGTGTGTTTCTCACCATTGAATGATTTCTGTGATCTGGGCCTCCCAGTGGGCCACACTCTCTTTCTTATCAGCCAGTTCTCTCATTTCCTCCTCCAGCTGTTTGTTACTGCTGCTCAACTTCTCAAACGAGGACATCGTCTACACACACAATAAAAGATGTTATTGAACACACTACAGATTCAAAAGTTTTTTTAAATTAAAACTTTTATTTAGCAAGGACGCATTACATTGATCAAAAGTGACAGTAAACACATGTATAATGTTACAAAAGATTTCCATTTCAAATAAATGCTGTTTTTTCTTTTGCACTTTCTATTCGTAAAAGAATTCTGATAAAAAAATGTATCACGGTTTATGCAAAAATATTAAGCAGCACAACTGTTTTCAACAATGATCATAAGAAGAATGATTTCTGAAAGATCATGTGACTGAAGACTGGAGTAATGATGCAGAAAATTGAGCGTTGCAACACAGGAATAAATGAAATATATTAAAACAAAGTTATTAAGTTGCTAAAATAGAAATGTACATTGCAATAACATTTCACAATATTATTGTTTTTCTGTTTTTGATCAAATTAATGCAGCTTTGGTGAGCATAAAAGACCTCTTTCAAAAGCATAAACCTTTACCGACCCCAATTATGTTTTTGAACGCAAGAACAGATACGATTATACAGTATTTTCTCATGAACAAACAGTCATTCAGTCAACCCACAGACTTGATTCTGAAAATGTAGTTTAGCACATCCCTAACCCAGCTATATATTTAATTTCAGTGAACAGAAAATAATCCTCATTTGAGGGTTTTACTCCTGCACAACCCAATTAACACAACAGGCCCGAAAACATGCCATCATCATTTCAGGAAATCACAAACCAATACGGCAATTTGAAGGGGCAGATGTATTTAAACGGACCAGAGAATCAGAGCCTGCAGGATGGACCACCATGCAAAGCCACCCGTGTCCCTCTAATACCCTCTACATTTCCACCCCTAAACCACTAAGAACCACGAAACGCTCATGAATAAACATGACCCCCTCCGTCTGCAATGCCTCAGTTGACTTCGCAGTAAACATGTCTGCTAGTACACATTTATCCAGTCAACTCTGATTTAGATGCGCTCTCTATCTTAAGCAAGAGCTGGTGAGGTTGACCACCCCGTAATTACACTTGCATTATTCAACATTTTCATTTAACACCGCGCTCTGACCGGAGTGCTGAACCCTCGCAGTGGTCCTCGGGATAACCGTTCCAGATTCCTGTCTGTTGATCAGCATATTTCCCTGTGCTTACACAGGGGGGAGGATGCTGACTGACTTCCCAGTAAAACATTGGCATGGTGGACCATATCTTCAGCTCAACACACTCAATGGAAAGACTCAGTCCGCAAATGGCAACGGCATGTTTTCTTTCTTTCACAACTGAGTGCTGCCCTCCAAGGGTTCTTCTCTAAACATCTCTTGCGTGTGTTTTTTTGTTGCCGTCAGCCTCACTGAGAGCAGCACGAACCGCCACACGCACATGGAAGGCTGTCTTTTAACCACTCTGTGTGCTTTACACTCCATTTGAAGCGCTCAGAAACGGTACCAAGAATGAATGAATGGTTTTAACAAAAGAGCATCAACTCTGACCACTAAGAAGCGAAGCCTCCTGTCATCTTCAGCGTAAAGACCAAATCAAAAGTGAAGAGGAATCTTTGACTTCAGTAATATGAGAGTTGGAGGTTGTGGTTTCAGGATTGTGGGCTGATGTGTTAGTGTTGCACAGCATCCTGGAGCCACAGTAGTGTCATAGTATTCAAGCCTAAAAATACTGGTATGCCACAAATTTTTCAAATCGTAATAGATGAAACAGTTTATGAAGTAGCTAAAATTGTTTGCACACCAACAGTTTAACTTGAATCTAAGGCATGTCTAAAATACTGTAAAACAATAAACATGACAAACACAGTCGACTGTCATTCGAGAAGACTTAAAGGGTTAGTTCTCCCAAAAATGAAAATTCTGTCATTAATTACTCAACCCTCATGTCGCTCCAAACCTGTAAAACTTTCGTTCATCTTCAATACACAAATGAAGATCTTTTTGATGAAATCTGAGAGCTTCTGTCCCTCCATTGACAGCTACACAACTACCACTTTGACGCTTCAAAAAGTTCATAAAGAGACCGTAAAACTAATCCATATGAATTAAGCGGTTTAGTCAAAATGAAGAGACACATTTTCAACTCAGAAGAGACACAATCGCTTTATATGATGAATAGATTGAATTTAAGCTTTTATTCCTATAAAAAACATAGATCAGCAAACATAAAAAGAACCGAAACCTGCTGGACGCACAAGAACAAACCCCATTGGTTCTTGATGAACCTCAAACGTCCTGCGAGTTAGGGTGGAGTAATTAATGACAGAATTCTCATTTTGGGTGAACAACCTTTTTAAGATGTCAATATTCACCACCCTCTAAAAAAAAAAGTGGCACTGAAATAATTCAGTTGGTGTAATATTGTGAGATATAATTTAAGCAAATGTAAAAATGCAGTTTGCGATTGATTTTACTTCTATATTGTGACGTTTTTTGAGAAAATGATTAGGTGTCAAGACCTGATTGTATCGCACTTCTATTTGCACTTCTGGCTCTATCATCCTGAAGTCAATGGTTTCTTTGAATGGGTGTTTGGTTAAATGCCTGAAATGAGGTCTGTGGTTAACACAAGTTCAAGATATGTTCACGTTTTATTCTACGACATAAAATAAATGCCCTGCTCATGAGTTTTTAAGCTTTTATTTGTATTGAAAAGGTGGTGCTTAAATGTGGCTAAATGGGACAGTCGGGAACATTTAACGTCATCACGTCGACCAGGAAAACCCATTTAGTTCGCTTTTACAGCATCGTTGTTTATACTCACACTCTTGCAAACTAATCTAACTCAAACTTTACAAGTTGTAGGACTAAAATAAAGATTGGTGGTGACGTTAAAGTCATGTGATCGTGGTGTAGTTTGCTTATAGCCTGGCTTTAGCTTTTTTTTTATCTCTGACGATTGTTTTAGGCTCAACATTTCATTAAAGTAGTGTTCATTTGTGCTAATTATCTTGAACAACACATGTAAAATCATAAACTTTTGTTAGTCACAGAGCTTATTCTCTGCAATAATCCAAAAGCCAATGGAAAAAAATGATTGTCTTTTCGTCAAGGGAATCAGGGCGATGCTAACTTCCAGGAAGTAAAAAAAAAAAAAAAAAAGTCATCCCTGCTGCACTCAATATGACTTTCCTAAACCAATGCCTAAATAGATATTTGGATATTGGTTAACATTATGCAATTACCCGCGGTGCCAAAGGGACATCAATGGAAAAGCAAAGTCATTTCAGAGTCAAGAGCAAGTTATTTCAGAGTTAAGAACGATTATAAAAACATTTTTTCTTTGAAATAACCTGCATCAGTGCATTAAGTAAATAGGCTGAAGTCCTCAATTTCATGTTGACACTCAGTTATCGTGACAGCCCTAGGAGTGTGTGAATGTTCACCTTGTCAAGTTCACTGGAAAGTTTCTTGTTCTCCTCTGACAGCAGCACTCGCTCTCTCTCTCTCTCGTACTTCTGTTTGTACTCGGTCTCAAACTCCTCTCGTTCGCTCTGACTGTGAGGGTGAAATGATTTATTGAGCAACAGGGTTACTCCGCATCCAACACACACTGCCAACATACTAACACAAGCCAAACTCCATAGCTTATTTTAAAGAGGTCATGATCTACACTATATTTCATTTTTTACCCCTTAAGACCACTTACAATGTTAGTCAAGGTTTCTTGCACCACAAATGATTGTAATTTAGTTTTACAATCCCCATTTTCCACCCTCTCTGGCCCTTAGACTTATCAAGTAGAATAATACATTGCGGCGTTTAACAATCTCTTGTAGTAAGATCAGTACCCCTCTCTGCGGGTCTTCTCAAGCTTGTCTTTGAGCATCATGATCTCTTTCTTCAAGGTGAGCTGCTGTCCCTCTGCTTCCCGCAGCTCCTTCTTCAGGTTCTTCAGTTCGTTGCCATGTTGTAGTTCCCTGCGCGACAGCTCTTCCTCATAGAACAGACTCTTCTTCTCCAGGTCTGCTCGTAATTTACTGAGCTCCTGGTTCTGCTCAGAGGACCCAACGCTTGGAGAACGGCCCACCTGCTTCTGCTGCTTCACGACACAGGGGAAGAAAAGGAGATTATTAGAAACATGTATACAGATCCATTTAAGCTAGATTAAATGAATGCATGTGACAAATGAACGTTTTGTGATGTATATGCATAAAAACCTTCTCACAACATAAAATAATGTACTAATTAAATCAATGGAATCATTCATGAATTATAATAATAATTAAGATAAAACAATTAATTAATTAATTAAATAATTAACTACAATACAATAATGTATTAACATTTATGAAAAAAAAACTAATTCCATAATTAATTATAACAAGTAATTAACAAACACTATATTATTTTGTATTAATTAATTAATTAATATTTTGCACACTTTCCAACTGACTTGATAATTTTACTAATAATCAATTTAATTATTTATTTAGGATTTAAGTTTAAATAAATAAATAAATAAAAACCAACATTTTGAGCAAAAAGCTGAAAAAACGCTTTTTTTTGGTCAAAGACTACATCCATATCGGATTCAGAAAGATGATCAAAACACAGATGGAGTAGATCGAGTCCATCAACAGGGTTGCACATATACCTCATCCTGGGGTGACATAGCATATAAATGAAATATTAGTTAAATCTAATATTACAGAATGAAGTTTAATGTTGATGATCGCATTATTTTACATATGCATCTGCTTACATATGATATCGCTTGTTTCTACTTCTTCATGTGTCTTTTGATTTCCGTCAATGGCAGGGAAAGAGTTAATAAAAGCAAGCCAACAGACATCACATAGCACTCTTAATTTTCCATGCTTGTCGCATTGTGCATAAAACCCCCTTTAACAGTGGCAAAATCACCGTAACAGCTTTATTTTCAGAGAAAAGGTGTGTTTGTGTGCACAAACCTTCATTCCCTCCAGCTCTTCTTCCAGTTGTCTGCTGTACTGCTCACTGCGTTCCCTCAACTTCTTCTCTTTCTGAGCTTCAGCAGACCACTCTTCAGTCTGGGCCTCCATCTACACACACACACACAGAGTTTACACATGTAAAAAAACAGACTCCTCAGATCAGCCGTTCTCCTGCACACTAACCTCTTTCTTGGCCCGCTCAGCTTTGCGCACATCCAGCCGAAGCGCTTCCACCTTCTGATTGAGGGAATCCATCTCCTCCTCTTTGTCCCGAAGCTGTCGGGAGAGTCGTTGTTTCTGTGACCGCAGCTCTGTCACCCTCTCGCTCAACTCGGCAAACTCCTGCATGGCCATTTTCCTCTGGCTGTCTGCCTCTTTCAGCTCCTTCCCCTGAGCTTTCAGCTTCTCTGAGGAGTCCTGCAGGCCCTATAGCCAAACAGTAAACAAAGTTGTACAAAAAATTAATTAATGAATTACTATTAATAATTGTATTAATTATACATTATAATTAGAGATTATAATGACGCTGCGATACTGTGCTTGTGTACTCGTACTCTTTAATATGCTCCGATACCAACAACCAATACAGTCCGTACTGCTTATGACAAAGAAAAAACGACAACAGAGCAAACATAGAGCAGAATGGAGATATCTGAGATGAATTGAATTAATGGCATGTTAAACAAATGAAATATTTATGCCTATATAGCTGCTGTGCGTGAGCCAATAAACGAAACGCGCAGTGGACTGAGCGTGCAGCAGTACAGTCTTGCAAGCTTGTCGATCGCACATCCCTTTTCACAGACATCACTGGAAAGTTTGTAGTTTGGTCGGATATGTCAATAGCAAAGACGGTAAAACGAAGTACATATGACTAACGTTAAAGGGATACTTCAGGATTTAGCATTAAGCTTTGTATTAGTAGAAAACCTGTAGTATTTTCGAATTACCATGCTTTCCACCCTCATATCCCCCTGAGACGAGAGATTTATGTATTTTTTGTCTGGAAAAAATCCTCCGATGACGCAAAAATCGTTATTTTGCGTCATCGGAGGATTTTTTGGCCAGAGGCTAAAGACTACAGCCAGTAGTAGGGGCAGGGGCGTAGCCAGTAATGGGCCAGGGCGGCACTGGCCCGCCCACATTACTCACTGGCCCGCCCAGACAATTTTGATAAAAATAAATTTTTAGTTTATTTTTATTATTCAAATGCATTTAAGAAAATATATTAATATAAACCTGATTTATTGTTGACTGGTGTGTGTGTGTGTTTAATTTGTTTTCCGAATAAAATGGAACTGTTGAAAAGCCTCTCTCCGGAACGTTATTGGTTGCTATGGTTGCTAAGGGGTTCTGACATAAAAAAAAACTCTTTGAGCGGCGCCGGCGGGCTCTGGCTAGCTGCTTTTTTTTGCCAATTTATTAACATCGCCATTCGCCACAATAATGGCTAAACAAATTTCTTTAATGTGCTATTTTAAAAAAGCAAGAGTAGAGGAAGAAGACACGCCACTGCCTTCATCTACCGAGTCCACCCAGCCCAGTTCTTCAGACTCGTTAACCCACAAGAAGGCTAGTCAGGTGCTGGTGGCGGCCGCAGATTGCTCCCAGGCCGCAGTGCCAGTGCTCTCTCCCGGTCAGCCTGACGCGGGTTTACCCGCTGATCTAAGTGCGATTGACGAACCACCTTCACAACCCAATTTGAAGGTATTTCCCTGCACTGTCAAGAATGGAAAATCAAGGAGCTTCTCGTCAAAGTGGTATGGACAGTTTTCTTGGTTGGAGTACAGTGTAATTAAGGACGCGATTTTCTGTAAAATGGGCAGACATTTTCCCAGCGGGGCTGACAGCCCATTTGCGAGAGAGGGGTTTGTGGACTGGAAGCACCTACGACAGGCATGTGAAAAACACCAGCTGAGCAAGCCCCACTCCGTTTCACTGGATAAGTTTCAAGGCTACAGGGCCAACCAAACTGCAGGCCGGGGAAATGTGTTAAATCAAATGAACCGTGATGCCGTGGACTATTCATTTATTGAACGGAATCGGGACCATCTAAAAGTCGTTTTAGACATTGTGCTGTTTTGTGCCAAGCAGGACATCCCCCTACGTGGACACAGGGAAAATGAAGATGCTCTCAATAAAGGAAACTTTATAGAACTGTTCAAATTCATGTGCAAATATGATCCACAGATCCGAAATCTTCTAGAGCAGCTGCCCAGAAACGGAACTTTGATGAGCCCAGATATACAAAATGACCTGCTGGAGTCCGCAGCCTCCTTGCTGTTGCGTAAAATCAAAGCAGAAGTCTGTGAAACACCGGGCACCTATTATGCTCTTATGGCAGATGAATATAAGGATGAGTCAAAGCGTGAACTGGTGGCTGTTTGTGTGAGATATGTTCACGCAGGGAAAATAAAAGAACAGGCAATCGGGTTCATGGACACAAGTGACCTGAGCGCAAGAGGTATTTCAGAAAAGATACTACAGGTGATTGAACCACTGCAACTTGACCCATCTCTGTGCGTTGGCTTCAGTTTCGACGGAGCCTCTGTTATGTCAGGAAACAAGGGAGGTGTGCATGTGATTTTGAAACGAACTTTTCCTCAAGCGTTGTATGTCCACTGCAATTCTCACCGACTGAATCTGGTACTCTGTGCAGCATCAAAGGTGTCTGGACACGTGAGCACATTTTTTGATACACTGAACAATCTTCACAGTTTCATGACAGGCAGCAGCAGACACGCAAAGTTTGTGGCAGCGCAAAAGGAGCTTCATCCGGGACGCCCGCGCTTGGAACTTGAGCGATCCACAGACACGCGCTGGAGCTCCAAATCCGGAGCAGTGAGCAAAGTACTGACGTTACTCGACGTAATATTAGAAGTGCTTGCGGAGTATGCTGAAAGCAGCGGCCAGTCGAAGGTTGAGGCGCAGTCCCTGCTGCAACAAATACAAACAAAAAAGTTCTTATTTTTACTCGTAACATTTGGAAAATTATTTCAGACGAGCGATTTTGCCACACAAGGTTTACAAAGCCCAACATTTTCAGTCTCTGAGTGCATTGACCTAATTGAGGGACTAAAAGACAGCTTTGCTCGGTTTAGAGACAATTCAGGGTGTGATTTTGAGCATGTAATGAAACTAACAGAAGAGTTGATGCAGAAAAATGAAATCACAAGCTGGGACATCACATCTGGGACCAGAGTGAGAAAGCTCCCGCCAAGGCTTGCAGGATCAGTGGTCACAACTAGTTTGGGGAAAGCAACAAGTGTGAGAAATGATGATGACCTAAGACACATATGGAACGACATCCTTGACAGACAGCTGACAGAGCTGGACAATCGTTTCCAACAGGATCAGTATGGAATAATGAGGGCAGCAGCAACTTTTCTCCCACAGTCTAAGACTTTTGCAGACAGGGATTCACTGCGGGCCCCGTGTGATCACTTTCATATATTGGTTGAGGATGCTGAACTAACAGTATTTATTGAGCAACTGCGTCGGAAATTAGCCAATGGCCTGGAATTTCCATCCCTCATGGAAGTATTGGACATTTGTGCTCCTGACATATTTCCAAACCTCAACAAACTACTTCAAGTCAGCATCACCCTTGCCATGACTTCTTGTAGTGTTGAGAGACTGTTCTCCACTGCAGGTAGGATAAAAACTAACCTCAGAGCATCCATGAGTACTACCCGCCTCAACAACCTGTGCCTTTTGTCCTTTGAAAAAGAACTCTGTGACTCTTTGGACTATGATGAGATCATTTCTGTTTTCAACACTAAACCCAGGCGCTTGCATCTTGTTTTGTAGAAAGAAAACAACAAGGGGCCTTAATTTCTGCCCATGAAGTGATTTAACTTAGTGGTGTGTTGTGTATAGCTGTATGCCTTATAGGCTACATTGTTTAGTTTAAATGAGTTGCTATTTTTTTGGCACACCAGGCTGATTGCATTGTATATGGTTTATTTAACAGAGTGTGTTATTTATTTCAAACTGTACTCTGCTGAGAGTTTTCATTATTTTAATTTCTTTTACTTTTAGCCTTTAGTCTATACTGGTTTGTCCAGCCTTTATTGAGCTCTGTTGGTTGAACATGATGATTTAAGAACATGAAATAAAGGTGTAACTGTTTTAATAGGCTAATAATAATAAAAAATATATATATTCTACACTCTAAGGTTTAATTATTATTTAATTCATTTTTTTTCTAGGAAAAACTATAGGCCCACTCACTTTTTCACTGGCCCACCCAAAATACAATTTCTGCCTACGCCACTGAGTAGGGGCTGTCCCGCATGTTTCCAACCTGCCCATAGAGGGTGGGATCTCACTCACAGAATGTACACATAGTGTCAGACATCTTTTTTTGGAAGCTAAGCTAGCAGACTCTTGTTCTCTGGAGAAAGCTGAGTAATAGGGGTTACCATCCTCTTTTTCCCGGACATGTCAGGCCATCGATGTCCAGGATTCAGCTTTTGCTTTCTGCAGTCGCCATTCATTGTTTACATGCACACCTTTTGTTTCAATCTCACTGAATTCATTCCGATTGGTGAATCTGAATGTAGTGTTTACATGAACGCTAAACAAGTGATCGGTTGATGTGCGTTTTAACATTGCTAAGAAAATTCCCGCTCCTCCGTGAGAGATACGAGACCGATGCGTCTCACAGGTGTCGCTCATCGGTAATCACGCCACCGGCCTCGCGTCGTCCTCCCGCGGCCCTCAGTCTCGTCCTGCTTACCACAGTAAACATGATGAATGGCGACTGTAGAACGCAAAAGCCGAAACCCGGACATTTAGGCCGATCTCGAAACACATTTTCGGGCAGACTCATCATGGAGACTCACTAGTAACCTAGACTTGTTGTTTAACTACTGCGCTCTGTTACCGGTAGGCGTAGCCTCCTAGGGCAGCGAAGCAAGTGCATTCTGGGAGTTGTTGTCTTTCATCCAGATAAGCCAAAAATACATTTTCTGGCTTTTCTCAGTCTAGAAAGCTCCAAATTCAAAAATTATTTCACATTTCTTCTACATAAATGACCCATTTTAAATACACATTCATCTTTCCAGAGGTGAAGTATCCCTTTAACTGATGGTAAAAGGAGAGAGAGAGAGAGAGTTGTGTGAAGCTGCAGTTGAAGTTGTACCTTCTGCAGGTCATCTCTTTCCTGCTTCATGCTCTTGAGCTGTTTCTCTAGAGATCGGATGTGTTTGGAGGAGTCTTCCAGATCCCTGCGGGCAGAACTGGCCTGTTCTAACTTCTGCTCCACCTGTCCTGTATCTGAAAGGGGGAGGAGAGAGACAAACAACAATGTGAGACATTAAAAACATTGTGTATTTCTGAGATGGTATGAGAAAAAGCAGCAATTTATGTTGAAAAAATTGTTAGTAAAACCTCTATAAACATAAAAAGTTTAGTCACATCAAGCAAAATATGTGTGATTCATGTTTATATGACATTACCTGCGATCTGTTTCCTTAGCATTTCTATCTCCTCCTTCAGTCCACGGATCTCAAACTCTTTGTTGGAGGAAACGGGCCCGTCCACGCTGGAGTACTGCAGAGCCTGAACCGCTTTTGTGGACTCTGAGGACCAGAACACATTACGACTGTCAGCCAGAAAGACTAACAACTCTGGGATTATTTCAGCAGAATCTAAGCTAAGGACATGAGTGCAGACACCTTGTAGTTTGCGACTGAGCTCCAGTTTTTCCTGCTCCAGACGGCGGATCCTCCGTTCATACGCCTCAGTAGCCAGACTGTCCTCCAGGCCTCGCTGCACGCCCAGGTCCATCTGCGTTGGTGCCACAGACTCCCGTAGGCAACCGCGGTCAGACAGCGTACTGTAGGGGAAAACAGGGTCAGGGGTCAAATCATCACACTAGAGAAGGGGTTCTCAAACTCTGGCCCTCAAGGTCCACTTTCCTGCAGAGGTTAGATACAACCCTAATCAAACACAAATGAACAAGCTAATCGAGGTCTTCAGGGTTACTAGAAAGATATAGGCAGCATTAGAGGTCTGCTACCCGACCCCGACGGGTCCCGAAAAGCTCACGGGTTTCGGGTCGGGTTCGGGTTAATGTTTAATGAATGGCCTCGGGTTCGGGTTTGTAACTTAGAAAAACTATATAGGCTATACATATATTTAGTTTGCGTGCTGTGTGCTTGGCTGCTTGCTGTGATCGTAATTATATGAGTAAGCAAGAGAGAAAGTAGCCTACGTGCGCAGTTTCAGCACAGTCCTACTCTGATTGCAGTGTTGTGACCGAAATAGTGCGTGCGGGAGCACATGCGCAAAACAGTTTTGAAAAATGATATATGAATCATTTTTATTTTATCATATATCATTGTTTTGCGCATGTGCTCCCGCGCGCACTATTTCGGTCACAACACCGCAATCAGAGGACGGCGCTGAAAACATTAACTGTCGATGCTGTTCTCTTCCTTCATAACTCGTTCTGAGAAGGATATTATATTTGTGTAAATAGTTGTGCAACTGCGCAAACTTTGTTTTGAAGTTTAATGTTTGAGTTCCAGGGGAATTTGTGACGGTTTCACCTGTTCAACCACATCAAAGTTTCGTAAGTAAGTCCGAGCTTTTTCTCTTTTTTTTTCCTTCTGTGCTGACTGATGAGGGGGCCGCTGTGCCTCGGTGAAACGGTGTTTGTACATGTAGCCTATTTTTTTTTTTATTATTGTTGGAAGCAATCATAAAATACAGCATATTGCAAAAAAAAAAGAAAAGATATTTACTGTGAGAAACGGACCTCGGGTTCAGGTCGGGCTTAAAATATAACCGTAATGATTTAATGATAATTATAATGATAATGATTTAATGATTTCGGGTACGGGCCGGGTTCGGGCTTAAGTTTAAAGCCTGTGCAGACCTCTAGGCAGCATGAGTTTGATCATGGTCTGAGTTAACCTGTGTAGGATAGTGGACCTCGAGGGTCAGAGTTGAGAACTCCTGCACTAGAGACTTATACGAGTCAAGATGTCATCAATTTTAGGGCTGATTTTTGTTTTAAACAGGACGGATTTGAACCTTCATCTCCAGCATGATCACCTCAGATGAGTTTTACAGTAATATCTTACCAGTTGCTGGTGTAGGTGAAACCTACAAATGGGAGATGGTGTCCTGAGAAGGCGGTGTGGGAAGGAGGTGGCATTGTCTCCTAAACAGAGCAGAGATCATAAGCTGTAGCATCTCTAAAAGATCTGGGTTGGTAACCCAAAGGTTGTAGGTTCAAACCCAACAATGTGTGATCTCATTAAGGTAGGTCAAAAACAAAAGTGCAATATACGGCTGTATTCTTGAGGCAGTCGTCATCCACGTCAAAGTTGGATGTGTCAGATGGGCTGCTGACTTCAGGGATGTAGGGGGCGTCACAGTTGCGGATGTTCTGCCAGTCAATGCCGGAAAAGAAGGGGTGCTGTTTGAAGTCCACAATGCCGTTCTGACCCAGCCTGTGCTCTCTGCAGCAGATGAGTCTGCGGATCAGGTCTTTGGCATTTTCCGAGACTTCCGTCACATTGGCAGGGAACTGGAACCGCTCCTGCGGGAAACAGGGTACGAACAGAAAACCACTTAATAAAGACATAATATTGGAGACACAATTGCTGTTGCTTTTATAAAAGTGTTCTGCATTACAGTGTTAAAGAGGACCTATTGTGCCCTTTTACAGTCTTGATTTTGTTTTTGGGGTCTACAAGAATAAGTTTCCATGCTTGAATGTTTGATGATTGGTCAACCGCTTCCAGCGTGTTTCAGAAACATCACGCCTTTAACAACTGCAAGTTTCAACACACTACTAACGCAACTCCACCAAGCCTCGTCCCTTTTTTTGTGTGTATACCTTGGGCGGGAATTATTTAAATGAGGAATATAGTGATGTGTTTGTTCCCGGAAGAACACTCAAGACTACAATGCAGGCGTTTCAGGGAGTTCAGAAACAATCCTTCCTGATATTGAGAATAACTCCCTTTGGAGTGACTTTGTGCTTTGTAACTTTGCAGACCTTTTTTCATGCTCAAACAGCAACATTACACACTAAAGAAAGCTGAAAATGTAAAAAACCTTTATAGATCCTCTTTGAATGTGGTTTTAAAAGCTTTGCGTTAAACCTAAAAAGCATTAAGCATTGTAAAATCATTGCAGTGCATGGCCTTTTATGGATTATTGTTTTAAAATAACATTGCTATGAGTCTATACCTTGTGGTTCATAATCTTGCCATACGTTTCCACCAGGGACTCTGCATAGAAAGGAGTTTCCCCGTACAGCATCTCGTACATGCAGACGCCCAGTGACCACCAGTCACATTCAGGGCCATATTTCCCTTTCCCGTCCTCCATAGCCTGCAGGATCTCAGGAGAGATGTAGTCTGGAGTGCCCACAGCCACAGAGGACTGCACCTGTGATGACAGAAAATGAGTTTAAGAACATGCTCAAAGTTCAACAGGAGAAAAGGCTGCATATTGCACTCAAAACTGGACCACATATTCTCAATTTAGTAAGCTTAATTGGACTGGTTTAATTCACACTTGCAGCACATATGGATTCTGCTTTGGAAACAAAGTCGAGTTTACAGGGAACTGGTTGACAGCCATACAGTATTTTCTGCTTTGTTGTTTTTGTCATGTCTGTCATTTTCAGCTATTTAGTCAAGGGTCTAGCTACCTTTTAATAGTCTGTCTAGTGGTTTCTAAACTTTAACTAACATATTTTGGATCAGACATATAAAGACACTTTATATTATATGAAATGCATCCTGGTGTCAATTCACGACACATTGTCAGGTCTCTACCTGCAGGGCTCTGATGCCTGGTAAAGATTTTTTTTTTTAAACAATGATTTTGCATGAATGCAATTATTTGCATGAATCTCACAAAACCTGTAAAGAACACGGCTTTTGTTTTTCATTTTCTTTTTGTCATTAAGTATAGCCAGTCTTTTTGACAGGTATCACGAGATTCATCTATTTACTGTGGTGTTTGTTATTACGACTGTAGGAAAATTCAGGACCTGGCATGTTGAGAACAGAAACAGAGGGGTTCAGTGTCTGTCTGAGCAGATCACATCACATCACATCACATCCTGTCAGTGAACGAGGCTGAAAGGCAAACTGATCCCTGAAAATGTGTCTTTATTGGCTCAACACTCATCACTATAAAATGCAAATGAACAACTCAAGCCATTTCATTGGTTGCAGCCAGCAGAGGTGGGCGTGGCCTAGGGGAACATGTCGGTCAAAGTATTCAGAAACACAAAGACCTCTCAGAGCACAGACCACATTGACAGAGAAAAAAAGAGCAAGAGATATCACTAATGAACAAGGGGGATGATTGGAGCTTCCTGGCCTGGGTTTAAGTGGGCTGAGCTGCCGGAAACTGTCTGTAATGCAGCCTGTGGCAGATGTGTGCAGCTGGAAGAATTTGTGGAAGTGAGGCAGTAAATTAGCTGCTCTCGCTGGCAGTGACACACACTTGAAAACACACGGACATGTGAAGAGAGTTAGGCACACACGTGCGAACACGCAGAGACCACACTCACGCTGCTCTTGTCAGAAGTCGGGGGGATATCCTGCCGAGCTGTCTGCGACGTGCCAGAAAACAGCAGCACATATCAGATCAAGTGAAATACTCACCCCTTCTTCAAAGACAACTCTGAAATACAGCTGCCTTTCAAACCGAGGGTGTCCTCTGGGTCTCCCATTATTTTATATTAAAACAGTGTGCCTACATGATTGAGCTGGAGCCCAATTTCTTCAACATATATATATATATATTTTTTTTTTTGTTAAGCACAACTCTCAATTTATTGTCCAAGCCCTTGCCATTAGAACACTAGATGAAAGAGCATGTGTCAGGTGACCTAAAACTCTTTTTGTACCATTTTCTTTAAGGCTGGAATACACTACCACTTCTGCTCAGGTTTTTTTTAGATGAGTCAACAATAGTTGCCGAAAGTCTGTGCAAGTATGCAGATTTCTGCCAGTCAGAGTTCAGAGTTGACTGATTGATTTCACAGAAAATCACAGTGTATGATGGACGCAGACTCCGATTTTTAGCTTCAGACTGTGATTCCATCCTGGCGGAGATTATCAAATCATGTTTGATATTTTGAGCTGATTTTAGTACACATATCGTAATGTATTACGCATAGCTACTGAAACAGAAGCGGTCCTCTATGTACCAGTTTTGCAATAAAATACCATACATATGCAATAACATTACAAAAGTAAATTAACAGAACACGCATAACAAATTAGCCTCAATATTTGACTTATTTGCACAGGTGAAACAACTGACTGCGCCACTCACTCCCGTTGTAATCTGTAGAGTCCATACTGACCGCGTCTACCCACCCAAGACTGCATTCAAATGCGCTTGGCATGTTTTCTTAGGTGACTCAGCACGTTTCTGTTCAAGTTTGTTGTTTTCAGAACGATTTAAAAATCTAGCAGTGTATGACCCTCAGTCGGCAAGTGTAATCCCCAGGTTTTCATTGAAACCATTTACAAAGTCGGCAAGTGTACAATGCCTAGTCGTGTAGTGTATTCCAGGCCTTATATTGTAGTCATGCACTGAAACTACGTCACTGGCTTTATTTTTAAGAACCTTAAATGCTGATACACTTGCACTACCATTCTTTTGGGTTGGTAAGATTTATATAAAAAAAAAAAAAAAAAAATATATATATATATATATATATATATATATATATATATATATATATATATATATCCTATCTCTCATGCTCACCAAGGTTGCATTAATTTGATCAAAACTACAGTAAAACATAAATAATGTCGAAATATTATTACAATTTAAAATAACTGTTTTCTATTTTAATATTTAAAAAATGTAATTTGCCTGTAATGGCAAAGCTGAATTACTCCAGTCTTCAGTGTCACAGGATCCTTCAGAAATAATTCTAATATGCTGATTTGATGCTCAAGAAACATTTCTTATTATTATCAACGTTCAAAACAGTTGTGCTACTTAACTTTATTCAGGATTCCAGAATATAATAGAAAGAACAGCATTTCTTTGAAATAGATTTTGTTTTTACATTATGAATGTTGATGAATTTAATGCATGCTTGCTGAATAAAATAATTTCTTGAAAAAAAAAAACTGCTCCCAAACTTTTAAACAGTATAGTGTAACTGAGGCTAAACATTCTTAGGACAGGGAGTGAACTAAATTATGGGGAAACCAATCCCAAAAAAATAGTTGAACACTTACGTATATCACTCTTAAAATATATTCTGGATGTCACTGCATAAGATAGACTTGGTTCCAAAAGTATTTTCTCATTCACTTTCTCCATAGTGATATTAAAAATAATTTCTTCAGTAATGGATTATGTAATCCGCAATGCCTCATGGGACTTTTTTAAGCCCATGAGGCATATGCTGTAAGTGACACTTTATTAGGATGTTATCTTGGAATCAAAGCCATTACTTTAGTGTTGGTAGCCCCTGTTGAGCTAGAGAAACACTGATGAGAGCTTAAATAAAGCTTTGCATAAAAACAAACATGTCTTGTTTTTGCATTTACACATTCCTGTTGTAAAGCTTTCAAGCCAAATTGTAGGATCCGTCTGACTTATTAAAACACTAAAACGCATTATCAGCTCTAAACAGCAATCCTGATGACTTCCTCCTCCTGTGAAATATGAGGATTAATATTCTAGTGTGCTCTTATATCTGCATATTCCTTGATATTCAAACAACTAACATACATACCGTTCCATCCTCCCTGAGTTTAAGACAGGAGCCGAAATCTGCAAGCCGAATGTGTCCATTCACATCCATGAGAATGTTATCTGGCTTGATGTCTCTGTCAGAGAGAAAACAGAATGACACATTAATACAAAATCAATAAAAGATTTGAGATGTTATATGTTGATGTGAAAGAAGTTGCTATAGCCATGTTCAACGCTGCCACGGTTATGGATTCAAATCCCACACACACACTAACCACATTTACTCTTTGAATGCACAGCAAGTTGTTTCGGATACGAGTGCCTGCAAAAATACATTAACGTAAATGTAAACATTGCTGTTATTATTGTATTTGGTTTACATGAAGCAAAAATATTTTCGAGGCATGTTACGGCTTCGAGCCAGTGAGGACTTTAGAGAGCTTCCTAATGAGACGGAGCAGTAATTCAGTGGGCTTCACAGTGGGGACTTGTGTCCGCCCCGTAAATCACCTCTATTCCTGAGAGAGCTGTCCACAGAGGAAACGGCTCTGTGCCACAGAAAGCCTCCATCCACTCCACATAACACAAGCTCTTACGAGAGGAAGACAAAACAAACAGAGGTCAGAGATTTGAACCTGTCATTTGCAGGGCAGGATTAGTCTTAATAGGGTATGAGAGGTGTTCTCTGCCCCGTCTGTGACCTGCCCATGGGGCAACCGGCACTAGAAGCATAAACAAACAGGCATCAAAGTGTCGCAAGTTCATGTCTCCATTACAGCTTATATGAACCTGTGTGTGAGAGAACACGCTCGAGGCGAGAGCGAAACACACACTGTTCTTATTCTCCTTCACGCACACGCTCTTGTTCGCCCCTCGTAAATTTGATCCAGGAGGTTGACGTGGAGCAGTAATAAAGACGGAGTGAATGTTAGCATGTGCCTTGTATAGACATGAATTACTACAACACTCTTGAGGTGAGTTTACTTTAATATCTCACCCAAACGGCCCTGAATCCTGTAACAATGTTCAATGGGCAGTCGTTGTTTTTTTTAAAATAACCATAGTAAAAAGCCCTATTGAGATTTATAATGAAAACACAGTTGTGCTAAGACCTGATGGAAACTTGATACTGAGGTATATCATATTCTACAATTTTTGCAGCATTTTTATATTCCTGAAATTTAAGAAATGAGTGCAAACTGAATATAAACTGCTACTGAAATAGAAACCAAGCAATCGACAAAACCTCCTGTCGCTTGTGGCGGTCTGTCTACTCTACTGGTTACGACAAAAACTCCTGCCTGGTTAAGACAAGGCTATAATATTAGTAAATGCTTCACCCTAAACATAATTGAAACATAATTGACATTTTCCATCATCTTTTAGATATTTGGAAATTACCTAGAACATCTTTAGGCTATTATAATGATATGCAAATGCCCTACATTACCATTCAAAAGTTTGGGGTCAGTAAAGAAATTAACACTTTTACACTACAATATTACTTTTTTACTGTATTTTTTATCAAATAAATAGAACCTCGCTGAGCATTAGAGACTTGCAAAAAAAAAAAAAGTTTAATCTTACTGACCCCAAACTTTTAAACATTAGAGTATATTATGATATTTTTGCATGCAAACGAGATTTGAGAGCTAAATATCAAATGCTTCCTCACACAAAGACTTTGTTTAAAGTGAATGAAGTCCTGATCATGCTTTTATTGTATGTAAAAAAACAGCATGACAAATTCAGAAGAAAGTAAGTCATATGGTTTTGGGATTTGTTTTTTTGGTGAACTATTGCTTTAATGTGCTCATGGTTGTGACATCATAGCCATGACACTATCTGAATGCCTCATTTGTGCAGTTTAGTTTCAATAAATGTTCAGTGCAGACCGGGGTTGTGAACTATAGAGGATTTCACATTAAAAAAAACTAGTTTTTCATGAAATGTCCCCTTCAAAACACTCCTGCTGCGACTCCATTTGAGAGCTAAGGAATGAAAACAAAAGAGTACTTTCGTGGTCTACTACAATTTATAGTCATAACTGGGGACTCTTCCAAAGAAAATCAGCACGGGAAGCCTGGACAGTCATGGAGACTTCCTCACAGGGAACACTTCTCTGGGCACATTAAAGAGTCTCTACCAAGCTGTGTGAATCGGATCACTGATTTTATCCTTAACACGGCAGCGGAAACTTCACATTTGTCCCAGATGAGGACCTGTGTGGATTTGGCCCGTGTGTGGGTACGGGCACGACACTGGTTTGGATTGCCTCATTAGAGGCCATGTTTATTTGTTCCGCCCCTCTCCGGCTGCTTTCCCTCCATGTTTCCACAGAGGCAGAGCTACTGTGAAGGGAGGCTGCCTCAGGAGAACAGGCGGAACGGTTCACATGCAAACCAATACAACTGATTAACATGACTCATCTGGTGCTCGAGATCAGGATCTCCTGGAGTCTGTTCTGGGATCAGAGGAAAACGGTGATGACACTCGAAAAATACAGTTTCCCTTCTAACAATCAACATTTAATATCTTAAACACGCATGCAGGCCTTGAAATCAAAGCTTGTGTATTACCACTTTTCCTAAAAGGAAAAATGACTTAAAAGACTTTAGTTCCTTCTTTAGACAAATATTAACACGTTGACCTCGCTGAGATTTGAGAAGCAGTCGTCAAAAGGTTAAACTGCTGTTGTATTGCTGAGGTTATTTTAACCACCGACTCTTCACAACCTCATCCTATGAAAGTACATACAAAGAGAATTTGCTTTTGCAGCGCATAAAACCGCCTTCTCGACATGTACACAACACAAACTAACTACAGTGTTTGAGAGCGGGAAAAGCAGACGTTGTTCGCGGGCAGCCAATGAAGACCATAGGTGAGAAGAATTACGCAAATGTGTTACATTGTCACCTTTGAATGTTATGGAAGTAAGACCGGAATTACTGACGACTCATTTCGGCAGTTCAGAATCGATTCTTTCTTTTGGGAGACAATAACTATTTATCATGCACTTGGATATGTATAACTTTGCAGAGCTTTTACATTCACAAACAGCTATATTACACAGAACATGAAAGGAAATATTGGAAAAAGCATAGTAGGGGCACTCACTGAAACTAAAACCAGGGCTCAATGCTAAGGAGTTTTTCTACTGGCTCGGTTGGGCCAGTGGTTCAAATTTTTACTTGCCCTGCCAAAATTTTCACTGGCCCCACCACAAAAAATAATAATAAAGAAATTAATAAAGAACATAAAATGGGCCTAGTTATTGTTTTAGTTGTTTTTGATCCATGTAACCTTAATAAATAAGGGTATGACACCAAAAACTATAGCTTTTTATTGTTACAGACAGTCAGTAATAAAATAATAACACATAATCAAATTACGAGCAATAGCAGCACAAATAAATACAATAGAACAAACATATACAAATGAAATAAACAGTTATTTTCAGGTTTTTCATGTAGGTCTAACTTTTTAGGTAGGGTACAGAAATAGTAATCAAATGTAAAATATCACTGTATAAATATAGATTAACCCTTATTACAGTTATTCAGTCAAGAGCAGTGAGCGATTATTCTTTTGTTTGATTAACATAAAACAGACAGCAGCAGGATAATTAGGCTGCTGTCACTTTAAGAGTTGCACGGACCCAATATACTGTTACACATGTATCTCATGTTAACGTTTAATGTCTATGTTTAATGTTTAACCAACTACGTTTACGATGATACTCGACAGGCAATTTGGCAATTTTGTGTGAATATGTCCGTGCAAGTTCAGGAAGTTGTGAAAGAGTATTGTGAAACGCGGTGCTCTGGGTACCAAAATTGAATATTTAAATTGGCAAGGCTAAAAAAATTCGCAAATTATCATCAACTTCTGTGAAGATGCAGCACTGGCACGATCGGGCAAGTGACAATTCCGTCAACTGGCCCGAGTGTCTTTCACGCCCCGTGGGGGCCATCGGGCAGTCCTTTTTGTCGAGGCCTATATAAAACTTTTATTAAACTAAAAATTATTCCTGAAATTAAAGCGGAAATAAAATAAAATAAAATATAAATACGAGATGAAAAACTTAAACTTAGAAAAAACTTTAAATTATGCCTTAGCAACTAACTAAAATAAATTTAAGTAGTAAAATTAATAACACTAAATTTGAAATAGAAATAAATAGAAATATTAAATAGAAATATAAGAAATCTAATAAAAATGACAAACGCACATAACAAAATTACTAAAAAAATTTAATTACAATAAAAAATCTTAAAAGCGAATTAAAAATAATAAGAAATACTATAATAGTACGTAAACAATACTAAAAAAACACTGGTCTAATAACTAATATACAGACACAATTTTGTTGTTTCTGATTTTTAATGAGTTTGCAGGTCAAATATAAGAATATAACCCAGTGAGATACATCTAACAACATGACATAATCATCCGTTCGACGGATTAAGGATCAAGGTCGACGTCCCTCCTGCCAGTAGGTGAACTAAACCCCAGTCCTGACAACACCGGAGCTAACATCATCCCCTCAGCCAGTCAAAGTGTTGAAAGAAAAACGTACCTTCCTCTTACATGAAGGATGCTACACACAGGCCCTGACAGAAACACAACGCTGGGAAGCAGGAGGACATTAAAATGTGATTAGTGCTGGTTTCCTGCCCTGTCGAGTCGACGCACGTCACCACAGCTGCGGCGAGAATACAAATGCAAATATATATATAAAAGGCTAATGTTTTATGTATTTGAGGAGCGGAAAAGAGTGTCTTAAATGTAATAAACAATATATTGAACAAGCTATCAGCATCTGTCAAAATTGTTGCTGATGTATGTGGCCAACAAAGACCCAGAGGACATCATTAAGATGAGTTTGAGGAAAACAATCGAGAAAGAGAGAGATGTGTCCCTGTAGCCTGTATTCACCTCACCTCCCATTAGGGCTGGGACGATACACTTATCTCCTGATACAATACTATTACGATTATTGGGTGCCGATTAGATATGTATTGAGATTTTTAAAAATAGGTATAAATGACCTCATTGTGTGAATGGTCATGCAACGTTTCATGTCCTCAGGGTCTCTTTAACACACACACAGATAGAGAGAGAGAGAGACAGG